ATAGACGTTCGTTGGAAGCGTGTGCTCTTCAAGATGAGGTCAGCGGAACCTTGGCCATATCGAAAAATGCAGTTTGATGCATGAGAAATGACAGTGTTGACTATCTGCAGGGATGGAACAACGAGTTTGCCTCCACGTCACCCTGAGAGTGCTAGCCACTGGGATCCAGTCGCACCTCTTGCATTGACTGATGGAAGTTATGGGATAGCAGGAAGTAAAGATCAACTGTCACAAAATGTGGCCCTTAGTTTGGGTTGGTTTGGTGGCTGGTTAAGTGGCTTGCGATGAGGAGTAACACATTCAATTTTGCTGTGAATACGGAGATTATTGGTTGGCCTCCCAGGATCCGCTTCATCCCACAAACACTGCTTGTTTCGTGTCAGAACCTTTTATTGCAGCAAGGATATGGCGACTATGTGAGGAGGTTTGGTGTCGTGCTTCTGCTTTGATGCCTCGTGGTTACTTTGCATGCGCTGTCTAAAGGGCAGTCGGATTTCAGGAGTTGGAAAGGAATTGGGAAAATAGGACTTGTTATTCAATATCCTGTTTTTCTCGCGCCTCAGTTGCATGGCCACGGTATTGACAGGTCTTTGTCACCGTCCTAAGGCCGAATCTCCGTGCGGGTCAGTACAGCGATTTCGACTAAGTAAGGCATTGAATACACACCACTTCTCTGTCGTTTTAGCAACTCTCTGAAGGACTAGCCGAGATGCGGAAATGTCGCGACGGTATCTTGGAGTTGCAGCGAAAGTTGATGCGTGAGGATCCCAACTTTTCACACGGTACTGTCGATTTTCCTTCTCCTTCTACAGAAGAATGAATTTTACCCATTATTTCGGTGTTTTTTATGCATCACAGACAAAAGAGATCAAAGTGGGGATCTGGAGGAGGTGCGAGTCATCCTCAAAGCTCAAGAACGGGAACTTTCGAAGTTGACTGGAATTGTCAACCGGTTGTCCCTGTCCACACCAAGTGAGTTGTTGCCCCTTTTTTGTTTTTGTAGTCCTTAAAACGGAAGGAAGTGGATATTTTTTGAATGCCATTATGCAACCTCCTGTTGCACTTGTAACATCACAGTCGCATTTAGCGGCAGCATGCCTCCTTTGCCCCCAGGTAAAGCAGCGAAGGGATGTTGACAGCATTAATTAAATCGGAAGTATGGTTGGTTTGTCGGAACTTGGAGTCAGGCGGCTGTTAATTTGCAAAACCGTGGTTGTGGCGATTCCATTGAGTCACGCACGAAGTGTCCGAGACAAATTGACTCTAACGCTTTTGCATGGGCTATGATATTAAAACCGCCCACATGACAGAGATTGTGAAATTGATGTTGTATGCCTTTCTCTACTCCAGATGGTGATAACTCAGCGGGCGAGGTGACGGAGGTGGCTCGTGTAGTGCCGTCTGGGAAGTTGCTTTGCAATGTCACCGAGCATCACAATTTGGAAGACTACATTCAACACCTCCAGGGCGTTGCCGATGAGTTACGACAACAGCTTCATCAGAAGAGAGTAAGTTGTTGAAATTCGACGCTACTTTAGTAGTTCTCTTTGGTGCACCACAATAAATAGTTTCATCGCTTTTCACGGGCGGAAGTTTGTGCAATGAAGTTAGAACTGTTATTGGCCTTCACTGAGTGCTTAATTGTCACTACAAACTTGACGCCTGTGCTTACTTTTGTTAACGCCATAATTTCAAGATGCAATCAGGATCGGTTGGTGTGGGATGTTCTCACCGCGGATCGCGCCAACGCCCTGGCCTAATTTTTAAGTTCATTTGCAGTCTAAGGATGACAACGCCCAATGCCAAGACCCTCATCTCCGTGAAGAGACGCGCATACGAACAATTTTGTTCACTCTTGTATTTATGCTGTCTAGCAGCCGGAGCCTTGCTCGTGTATACTACTGAAACCGCGATTGAGTAGCCATCTTCCTATATATGCTACTTTATTCTACAGGCAAAGCTACAGGAATTGAGGACTTCTTCACTGGAACTGCAAAAACTTCTAAAGGTATTCCTCACTTGCTTGTCTTTACTTGTGGTCCTTGTCTTTCCTCCTGCATACGTCGTTTCGATTGCTCTTTACCCACTCATTGCATCAATTACTTAAGCACTGAACAAGGCTAGACCAACTTTTTTCGTTAGGATATTTGCTTCGGTGATCCCGTAGACTTTATGATCATTCATTTTTCGGTATCCTTTTTCACCTCCACAGGACCGAGAATGCGAGCTAACTCGAGTAACTAGTGAGCTGCTGGCGAGCAAGGAGGAGCTTGTACGCGCCAATGACAAAGTGAAATCTATACTTGCGGAGCGCTCGTCGTAAGTTGGAATATTTTTGTCTTCCCGTGTCGTCTTGATTGGTCCATCTGCCTTTCAATCGCCTTCTGTGTGTGATGGCAGGCAAACTGACCAATCCGATGTCCAAAGGGCAGAATCGCATCGCCTCGAGGCAAAGATCGCAGAATTGACTGGCCACCTTGATGCTCTGAAAGCGGAGGTGGGTGGTGAATGAGTTGATGCCCTAGCATCTATTGTTGAGTTATGCAGTGAAGTATCAGGACCCGCTTTGACCTTTTAATCCCCCAATATCTTGCCGCGTCCCAGATTGTTGCCGTGGAACAACAGAAGGAGCGACGGAAAGAAGAATTGGTGGAGATTTCTCGACGCGTTGAGGAAAAACGCTTACAAGCAGAGAGGAAAAACTCCCAAGCGTAAGCGATCTCCCTTCCGCCATGGCACAAAGTTTCCCTCCTTTTTTGCCGTTTTAAGTTTACTTTTGAGCCCTCTGTTGGACCTATCCCTGGACTCCAATCGTGAGACTGTTGAAAGTTTTAAAAGGCAATGGAAAAGTAAATCTCATAATGAGTGCGCCTAAAGACAATTAAAGTTGATTTTTTTATTTAAATTCGTTCCTTAAAAACAACTTTTCTGAACGCAGATTCACCGGTTTTACCACAGAAACCTCCGTTGTGGGCGATGGGAATCAACGATCAGACAGCAGCCACTCCATCTCACCACGTTTTGAGTTGGATCACCTGCAACCGAAGGTTAGTTCATCTCATTACGTAGAAATTACTGTCACAGACTTACTTCCACCTTTGAACTTACGGTTGACTTCGGTTTCCATCTGATGCTGGTTTGGTTTGCAAACCATATTTTGCACTCATTTCGCCTTCTCCGAATTCAGATTGCGGAAGCTCGCGCTCGCATGGAGACCCTCTCAAGGGAGATTGGCGCTCGCACTGCGGAGTTGGAGCTCCTTCGCTCCAAGAAGGCTCAAGAGACACATCTAGCTGACGTGCAACTGGAGGCAACTCGTCGTGAACTGCGACTTAAGCTGGACGAACTCAGCAGTGCCAAGGTGAGATACTCTTGGGCAAACAGCGTTCTCTTGCTGCGGTAGTAAACTAATCAGCCTTCTACATCGTGCCAACTTCAGGAGGAGTTGTATTCTATTCGTCAGGAAAGGGATCGTGTGGTCTCCGAGCTGCAAACCTCTCGACAAACTGCCTCCCTGCACCCAGTAATTCATTTTCATTTTTTTTTTTTCATGAAGGTCCCTTAATTGCAATACTATTTTCTCTTCTATTCCAGACCTCTGATGGCATTCCAACAATCAGTAGAGATGCGAGCGAATTAACACAGCGCTTGCAAAACCTTCAAGCCGACATCATTCGACATAAAGACGAGATCTCTAAGTTAGAGGACCAGAGGAGGGCAAAGGTAGGTCGTCCGAGTTTTAACCTGCCTGCTTCATGGCATCCCTGATGTAGTTAATGAAGGCACTTCATTTGGCGATTTTCAGAAAGAAGAAGTGATCCATCTTGATAAGTCCCTGACTGAGGCAAAAGAAGAACTAATCCTGACTCAAACTCGTCGACAAAATGCGGAGGCTCAGCTGTCACTGACACGGCAGAAGGGTGAACTATTGAAGGGTCAACTGGAGGCGTTTGAGGCCAGTGTCGAGGTGAAGCAGAAGTGAGTAGACCTCAATTTTTATAGTGTATTAGTCGACTAGCATTTACCATCCCCACAGAAGAAGCTAATTTACGTCGACCTATTTATCATCGTCAGCTTGATTTGTTTTGCGTGATTCAGCTAGCAACTTACCATACACATTTTGGAAATGTGAAATTTGTAGCGAGGTGATCTTTTTATGGTGAGCGTCATTAACGCGTTTTGAATAGATTGGTCATGCCTTTGTTGCGTTCGAAGGCACTGGCATTTAGTCGCTATTTTTAAATTGATTGTTTAGCTTGTTTCTCGATCTCTGATTGGTTCCGTGTAGTTCTGTCCCTGAATTTTCTTTGTGGTCAAACAAATGGCATTGAGTTATATCGCGCAGACAAAATTGTGTTAGCATGCTCGTAGCAGTAGATTCCATTGTGAAGCTTCCATGGTTCTAATCGCATCGTGGACTTTCATGTCCTGCCCTCTAAGCATGGCATGCTGACCGGTCACTAATTAACATCCAGACTCATCTCTGACCTCTGCTCTTCCTCGGAGTCTCGAATCGTAGCGATGGATAAGGAGCTCCAGCGTATGCTTAGCTCCACTCAGCAAATCTCCTCGGAGCGATCCACAGCAAAGACAGAGCTAACTCAACTCCAGCAACAGCTTCAGGCAGGCGCAAATGAGCTCCAAAATCTGAAGTTAGTTATTTTTTAATTATCTTAAAATCCACTGTCGTTCTATCAACTTCTTTTACGCTGCAGGGATCAAATCTCAACAGCTCGTCAGAGTTTGGACAAATCCGATTCCAACCCTAAGGTCTCACAAGCAAGCGAAAAACTCCGGGCTCTGAATGAGGTTTGTATCTCTTTGTTGTGGCGGTTCGCGCTACCTTATTTAACCTAGCATAAACTCTCAACCTTCATCTGTTGTAGACAATCGCTGCTCAAGTAGCAGAATCTGAAAAGTTAGCTCGCGAGATAAGTGAGAAACAGAGGCTAGTTAAGGAAATGCAGGTGAAACTGCAGTTTTCAAGGGTGGGTTTTTCGCACGAAAGCGCCTTCCCGTTCATTCAGGCCTGCTAATTTATTTTTCGTTCATTTAGAACACTCCTACAAATGCGGACGAGGTGGACTCGAGATTTGAGGAGCTAGAAGGCCTCTTAAGGCAGCGAGGCATGTTCTGAGTCTACTCTCTACTTTGATCTTTTGGAGTGGTTAAAATTTTTCGCTGTTTATTGTAGGCTTTTATGTTCATGCAATCGGATGTTCATGATGGAAGGCAATTCAATTCTAAACACAATCATTAAAGCAATACGCTCCCCAACCTGCATAAATGGAGGCTCTTAGTCTTCACTCTTTCATCCCTTTCAGAAAACGAGATCGAGGTGTTGATTGGTGACAAAACAAAGTTGATGGAAGACCACAGCCAACTGGTTACGGAGTTAGCGACAACTCGCAGTCAACTGGAGGCAACACAACGGGCATGTAAAAAGTTGAAACGCCGAACTGCTAAGGAACTGGCCGATCTTGAACGCGTGGCGGAGGAGCAGTGTAACCGAGCAAGTGTCTTCGCTGAAGAGTTAGCTCTTCTACGTCGAAACTACACCTACCTCCAGGCCAGGGTGAGTTCTGTTGTGTACTACTATCTACTTATTTCATACTAGTAGCATCACAGCTAAATGGTGCTTTCTATTCAAGGTGTCCACTTTTGGCACTCTGATGGACGAAGTTTTCTTGGTAAACGGCAAAACAGAGTCACTTTCACACTTTCCACATATTTTCGACCATTTGTTGTTTTCTGTCCTCATCCAATTTCACAATGCACGTTTACTGTCCTGCATCTAAAGCACAATTTTGGGCCACTCGCACATGCACACAGCGTCGCTACTGTATGTCATACCACCTAGCTGGTCCGCAAAGTGTGAGCTAGTTGCCACAACTACTGATAAAGCACAGTTTTGGCGTTGTCAATATCCCCTTCCGATGCCAACTTTAGTGTCGGTGAGAAGATGGGTTGCACTGGTCACACTCGAGATGCCATAATTGTCGCTGATGGCATTGATTCCTATCGTTATCACATCTTTCAGATTGCAGCCAGCGAAGAGGTTTCAGATCGTGAGCGCCGTCTTCAAGAGGCTCTATTTGCAATCAAGACTGAACTAGCTGCCTCTAGTCCTACCGCTAGCGGTATCGATGCAGCCTTGAGACATTTCGATGCTATCGAATCACTAGTTCGTCGAAACCTCAACTCTCCGTTGAATGGGTTTTCCACCACCCATCTCAAATCCTTCTCCTCTGTTCCTGTAAGTTCACCGCTAGCATTGTCGTATAGGAGCAATTAACTTTAAATTATATGAGGTCCTACTATGACACCTATCCGACATTTAGCATTTATCAATACCGCAGGGCGGGAGCGCTGAATCAGTTGGAGAGGAGCAACGTCATCCACTGCCCCCGCATCCCACTTCTACGAAGAACGTTCGGCCACCGTCCTCATCCGGTTTGGGATCGTCAATAACTCCCCAATCCTCTTCCGATGATAGGCTTCTTAATCTTCAGGTTTGCACACCTATCTGATTCATAGCCAAGTATTATATAGTCACGCTTTCATCTCCACCCACTTTTTTAAGGAGCAGGCGAGGCGGCGACTGCTTGAGCATCAAACCAATCTGGAGATTGAACGGTTGAAACAGCAGATAGAGGCGATCGCCACCCCTAATGCGTCGGCAGAGACGCGGCAATGAACCAATTAACTGTGTACAAAGTCCCCTCGAGGTTAGTCTCCGCTAGACTACATCAACCGCCCATTCAGCAAGAGGCTAACAAGCTCTTCTCCCTTTTTCAGGAACCTCACCGATCATGTGATGACATCCCCCATTACATCGTAACTTCTTACGCTCTTATTATTGAGTGTCTACTACTTGTCTTCCTGGCATCCTCTCCAATCTCACTCTCCATCCTGCTTGCTTTTTTAGAAAAAAAATGAACAATGCACACTTTTGATCGTTGTATGTAAACTAGGTACCTGTGGGTGTCGTTCTATGCACAAGGCGGCGGATGCGATGTAGTGCACGATTTCGAGTGACAGGTGCACTCACTGAAGACTGAACACGGTAGGACGTGGTTTGGTCTTCTCCAAATCTGGTTTCACTTTGTTCACCGCCACGCTGATCAGACCAGGGAGCGAAATGTGCCCAGTCTAGATGGAGTGATAAGTAATCCCCTTTTAAGTTTGCTACAAATCAGATGGTCTCTTGCTTATTGCTTTCGTTTGACTTTGCGTGAAATTCTCTATTGTCAACGCTGTGGTTTCACGAGCTAATTGAGTGGTAAAGTTGTTTGACATTTTTCTACTCTCACCTCGGCATCCTTTTCCTGCTCCATGCGATATCGGTTGTCGTTGGCCTCGATATTCTGTTGCAAAGTGAATTCAAACACCTGCGGGATTCCAGTGAACCGAAGGTCCAGGTAGATGATGGTCTGGTTTGAAGCTATGCATTCTTGAAATTTCTTGCCTGCTTCCTTCAAAATGTCAGATGTGCTTCAGGCTTAGCGTTTAGCTTGTTCAATCAAACTTTCCAAAACTTACCGAACCGATACTATTGTTGGAAAGGTCCAACTTCTGCAGAGTCGAGTTGTGCGTGAGAACTTGGCCAAAGACGAGGATCGCTGCATCGCCGATGCTGTTTGCAGCGAGGTTGAGCTCTCTCAGTGTGGTATTTCGAAGCAAAGACTTAAATGACACTGCAAAAGTCAGCATTTCTCCAGCCGAAACGGTCAACACATCTGTAGTAACACCTTTCGGCTCACCCGAGCGATGGAGCTGGCGCCCTCGTCACGAATGCGGTTTAGACGCAGGTTGAGTTTCATTAGTGTGCCAGCGCCCTTTGCTAGTGCATGGCTTAACGCCTCAGCTCCCTCCGCGTTCAAACGGTTGTTGGTCAAATCAAGACATTCCAGTCGGCTACGCCCGTTGATTAGTTTTCCAAGCGCTCGGGCGCCCCAGTCAGAGATGATATTGTGGGACAGATTAAGAGCTACCAGCGAGGGGTGATCCAGAAGGTGGCCGACCAGCACGCGACATTTCTCGCAATCCACACGGCTGCTACGAGGATGTGGAAAATTTTCAATGTCACTGCCAAAATTGACTTGGATCTCACTGCAAAACTATCAGGTCATTCAAATCATACTTCACCAGTTCCAGAATCCTTAACGAGGTATGGTTGCGAATTGCTTTGGAGAAACTGACGCAATCACGGCCAGTAAACTGAAATTGGCTCCACTCAAAATCCAAACCTACATTACGAACACGGTATTGTACACTAAGATGTGTTAATCGATCCAATTTGGCAATGACTTGACCCAAATCTAAGTGGTCTACGACGGTACTGATCTCGCCTTCATCATCGTCTTCGCCACCATTACCGCCAATACCTCCATTTCCACCTTCTTCCACCCCACCGACCAGCCCCCCCTCCCCGCCACCAACGCCACCCCCCTCTTCTTCGGCCTGCTCATCAAAGTCGTCACTGTAGTCATCAGACTTTCTCTTGCTTGATGCGAAATCGCGAGGCCCCTGTTCGTTGTTCATGAAGCCGGCGGGTAGAGTTGAGCGCTGAAATAAGAGCAACAAATAACCGGCAGCATAAGATAGCTCGAGGTCTTTAGTCGTTTTTGACAATTTCAATAAGCGGATGGTGCGACGCTGTGTGAGATGGAAATATCAGGAATGGTAGCATACTCTGACCCACCCTAGCGTTTCTCATCATGACTTTTTCCGGCGGAAGAAGTTCCTTAATATCGAGGCGGCGAACATAGGCTGCGCCGAATTGCAATGCCTCCTCGATCCACACTGGATAGGTCTGGTCTGGCACGTACTCATGGATCATCTGCTCTAGGTAATTTTCAAAGAAAGCGCGTTTCCATGAATTCCCATGCTTAACCACATCGATCACGGGCCAGCGTGAGAGGCTCATGCGCTGCCAAAAGGCCTCATCAGAGATAGTGGGAGCCACGACCTTGAGAGGAATGTCCGTCGGAAGAGCGTCCAATACGCGTTGCAGTTGTTCCTTGTTGAGGTGGGGAAGAGCACTGTAATTGACTGATTAAAGGAAGGTAGTTGCACTCCAAATTGCGTTTGTGCACTAAATGCTAATTCTAGTGGCTAGAAATGCACTAGTTAAAAGAGAACTTAATTGCTGAGCTACCAACTCACACAAGCAACGGAGTTGGGGAGTTCGTCAATTGCAATGACTCACATGCAAAATTCTCTATAATTTGTTTAATAACCAAATCAGCCAGTGGAGGAACAACATCTGGGTTGTGAGTGGGATCCTCCGCAATAAAGCGCCGAGTGATTCGGGAACTACCAGAATCTGTTGGTTTATATTGCATTGTTTCTTGAAAGTTAAGAGTGGAGGTCTGCGTTGGTTTTCCTATGGAATAACCAGCAGGTGGTTCTTCCGACTGATTGTTTTTCTTACTTCCCTCGTTCTCCATTCCTGGCTATTTGAACAAGCTACAAATGTGGCCATGGCAACCAAGGTTGAGCGCTGGACATTTTGCTGTTTTGAACACCAGTTTTATGCATAATTTTTGCATAAATTTGGATTTATTTATACAAGATCTGTTCGGAAAAGATTTTTTTCTTGTCGATTAAGTCCTTGATTGTTATTTTTAACCCGCTTATGTATGTTAAAAGTATCTTGTAAAAAAGATGATGAAAATCTTAACAGTTTGCTTTCGCTCAATAGATTTAGCTCTTTAAGTTTAGTTTTGAAGTATTTTGCAGCGTCACGAGACTTCCCATAGGATAGAAGGCAGTAAGGCTGGGTACATGCATTCCGAAGAAACAGACTAAATGGACCTGAGCGTGGTCCAAAAGCCAGCTTATGAGTACAAGGGCCGGATAAGTCCTAAAGTGACCTCTAAATGCCATGTGGTCACCTAAAGAAAGTATTACACATATTATCTCATTTTCACTTCCTTATCTCTTCATCGCGTTGACTTTCGACAAATTCCATTTACTGGCACCTTTACAATGAATGCCATGCAGTGTTCATTACCTCTTATTCTATGGTCTATAATGCCGGTATCATTTCGATTAATTGAATTGGTACCTTAAATCAATCCTTATTGGAGCATAAACCACTTATGCCTTGGAAGATCCATGCATTTTTAGAGCAGTATCGCAGTTTCTGACATGGGTAGGAGACCAGCTTCCTCTACACAACTAGGATAGTTGAAAATCTGAATTTTGTTTATACCTTTCTGCGACTTCCCACCGAGTAGGCATAGGAATTAAGTGGAGCCGGGTATATGAATTCCAGAGAGAACAAAGGGATTAGGGTTGACCATGGTCCGAAAGGCTGCTCATGCCCACAATGGCTAGATGAATTTTAAAGTAACTGCCTGACACCAAGTTGTCTTACAAGTAATTTATTACATTAACAATATTGAAGACCTCTCATAGTTCACCCAGGGGAAGCGTGTCCGTGCGTTCTCGTCTGTCGTGTCGTTAAGCTAACGCACTCATGTCTACGAATATTAACATTCTTAATTAAGTATAACCAGACCACAGGGTTCACTAACGCCCTCAATGGCACATATCTGATCAAAGTATTGCAGTCTCAACTCGGCTGCAGGTGCCAGCAGAAAGGGTTCGTTGATGCTGACTAATCATAGTTGCGAATCTCTTTACGCAACAGCGCAGAACGGCAAATATCAAGCAAAAGTGCTCTTTATGATTCGTAAGGTATGCACCTTCAAATCGGCTCAATAAAAAGCCAACCACCCTGGAACCTCTACCTATTTGTTTAATAGGTACACTTAACATTCTGAGGCAAGTGAGGAGCTTTTGAATGTGCTTCAGTAACTCATGTGCAACGCATACTCATCTAAGGTTTTATGCAAACGAATGATACTACACCTCCCTATCAGGTTTGCGTGACAGTCGGTTTGTAGTATGAAGACTGAACTTTGAAGGCAACAGGCGGAAGCAGTGTCTATGCGACACCAGTGGTAGGTCAGTTTGAAGAGCCCTCATACGTTATATGGTTTTCAATTCAAATTAACAATCCTTGTTTGTGTAAAATCCAACAATTACCCACTTAGCAGTATCTGGTGGCCATCTTGAGCTCTGGAACCATCTAGAGGCCTTAAATACTACCCCACTTTCTTTAAAAAGAAATGTTTGGAGCTGTCTGTTTAGTAGGAATTATAAAAAGACAGCAGGGTGTACCTCAATTTCCTTTCCAGCGACTTCGGCGGTCGTGGCCTGAATGCGATAAGGTGTTGCAGGTCTGAACCGTTAAACGTCGGGAAGAGGGTATGTCTGCAGGGGATACGAAACTGCCATCTACCAGCTTATCCAGTTGCCCAGCTGGCTTGGGCAAGAGACTGTTTCCCGCTGCTTAGAAAGAGCACAGAGCGACTTAGGTTAAGCTTGTCCATGTTCGCGTTTAGTTGTAAGTAAATCTTAGGCAAGACCTACTTTAAGAGAATCAGGCCTGATTTTGGCCATGTAGTTAAAAGTTGTCCACTCTTTTTCAACTCATATCGAAATGATGAGCTTTCGTTGAGATTTTGAGTAATTTAATGCCTCGTGCAGAATGCTTAACTGCTAGCAGCGCTCTAGTTAGCTCTTGCAGGTTTTAAACCTACTGTGTAAGACATGGTGATTCAAGATCTTCTTACCAAAAGATATGACGCTACCTACTTTGTAGTTGAAACTGTGAGAAGTAAAGACACCATATCAGTGTGCGTATTTTTAACACTAGGTTAAAACAGCTCGGATTTCGGTCAACTCGTGACCGATTTGTGAAGTTATTCGAAGCAGCCAAGTGTCACATGGCGTTCTGTCGTTTGCTGCACTCCCCTATTTCAGATTCCAACATCAATCGCTTCAAGACAAAAGGCAGTGTGGCAGATGCAAGCACACGAAGCGACCACGTTAGTGAGCCAAGTTGCCACAGGCCACAGAGAATACACGTTCAAAGTCAAATTGGTTGCCAAGCTTTTCTTCTTTGTAACATTGATGGCACCTTGTAGTTGTCAGCCACAAATCTGCTTGGGTTCCGTTCGGTTAGAGGAGATGTTAAGAAGGCATCACGCCTGAACATAACTTTCATTCATTTCGAGCAAACCTTCCTGTTTATCTTAAAAGGTGTCGCTTCGATCACTTGCAGCGCCTTTAAAGCTAACAGAAGTGGGAAAATTGCCCCCTATAAACAATTTACTTCTGAGGAATAAACTCAAAGTCATTGTGCGTAAAGGTGGAAATCGCTTACGATTTTACAAGTACAGAGTCCGGAGTCTTGGCTTGGGATATCTGAAGTCATAACGCTAAAGCAGAGAAAAATAGAGTCGATGGCATGCAGAAGCGCTAAGAGGAAAGCATTTGTACGCCAAATATAGTTTACGATAATAGGAAGATCGCAAGCTGCTGCGTTGGTCGCAGTGATCAAACATTAAATTAGTCATCGCCTAAGAAATTTAGCAATTGTGTATACATTGAAAAATGACTTCGGAAGTGATGGTGTGGAGATCCAAGACTTTCTATTATATAATAGAAGTCATTTGTACAACCTCGTCGCAGCCGCACGGTGTGTTGACTGCAAGAAGTTTTACTCGACATGATAGCTGTAATACTTTAGAAGTTGTATGGCGCCTGTACACGTGGGCTAGCCTTCGAGCCATGCCCAGGCTCAATTTGCTCCGTAGTCTTCGGAACACATATATTCAACCTCATTTATATCTTCTTCAACTCTATGGGAAGCCTTGGGACGCTACAATAGCAAAGTGTGGGAGGTTCGCAGAATAAAGAAGAGAATGAAGGGGAAACTTGTAATACCTTGTTTATGCGAGCAAATAGCGTTTGACAGTCACTTTAGGATTTGTTTGTCCTTTGTACACGTAGGCTACCCTTCGGGCCATGTCCAGGCCCATTTGTCCTGTTGTCTTCGGAACACATGTATCCAATTCCACTTACCGACTTCTCATGCCGGCCAGAAGTTCTCAGGGTGCTACAAAACTAGCTCTCAAATGCGATTGCTTTATCGTCTCTCCAACAAAAACATAAACCTTATGAACTCCAACATTCCACTAGCAATCACTACATTAGACCGACCTACTTGGCAGAAGCAAGACTGAGGTAGATTTAGCGCCACTAGTGCAAACAGGTGACTCAACTAAAGGCTACAAATGGAGCGCATATTCACTACGTATGACTAAAAAATCTCCCTCTCTCTTTACTTTATTTGTTAAACTGTAGGGATGGCAGTCACTCGGCTATAAAAATTACTCTAATGTGCGTGGTTCAAACTTCTGACTAAGCCAAGGCCCAATCCCTCCTTCTCCTTTTAGAGCATACATATTTATCTTATTCGCATGGCGCCACATCAGCCAGAAAACATTATGTTGTAAGCATATAACCACAGCGACATCGTTATAATTATTAACTATAAGCTCTGAACATCAAATTCAGGTCTTACTATATGAGTGATAAATACAAAATAAGCTAGAACTGGAGGAGGATAATTATTTGCCATTCAGGTATCTTATTGGCTGATTTATATCCAACGGAACTGTGACCTTTTCGGATAAGGACTTGTAATAACACTTTAAGCTTATTCAGCCGCTTGAGTTTTGCTTTTATGTGAAAATCGTAGAATAACTTGACAATGCAAAAAGCTCTGTCAATACTTGTAAAAAATTATCAATCTCAGATTCAACCTGATGAGGTGGAAGTCAGGGCTTTTATTGAAGCCTTAGAGAACGCTAATTCTTATACCAATGTGAAAATACCAACCGAAGTTGGTGGTTGTCTCGCATTTTTGTGCTCCCGTTATGCGATCAAGGGTAAAATGTTTTCAAGTATGTTACCGCTATTTCTAGACACCACTTTGGAGAGTCGCTCCGTCCTGAAACCGTTCATCACTTGGCTGGTCAAGGCATCCCTACTCGATATTTCGCGCAGTGGTGCTGATTCATCCGTAGGTGATGTGTGCATCTATTCTTTTTCTTAGGCCGATCCATTCTATGGTCTTCGGGTTCTTATGTCAGAAATGTCCATACCGCAAAGGCTGTGCGAATCTGAATTCCAAAATCTTCTGGCTAACAGCGGAGGAACGGAAGCCCCTATCACACCAATTTCAACCCCAACAGAATCATCCAAGACGAAGGTGAAAAAGGCTCAGATTGCCAAGGAACTGTGGGACGACGTATCTTCTGCAGTGGTGAGCTTGGCGTCTCACCATCTGTCAAATCTATTGTTATCTTTGTTGATTCTTTTTGCTTTTGCAAAATTTAGTCTGAATTAAACGGGGACCATGCCACGCGTGTCTCCAGTACATATTCCTCAATCGCTCGTGTCGTGTTTTGGGAGCAGCGTGGAGATGAGGTTCTGCTAAATTGCCTACAGAATCTCCTGAAGACCCTTCAAACGTATGATTCGCTTTATTTCTCGGTTGCTTGACTATTTTGTCATTTATTTTCTTATTTTTAGTTGTTCCAGGGCAGACCTAAAGTCCATAGCCCAAAAGGTCTTTTTGCTCTGCCAAATTCTACATGGAGCCCTTTCTGTTCCTGGTAACACAACCTACACCCTCTCCTCAATGCCGCCTATGTTTGTAAACAACTGGATTAAATCTGTCTTCAAGACTCTGTTAGTCATTGTTCAAGCCCTCGTGCCAACTCTCTTTACTCGAAACGTTGATTGCGTTGGAACCGCTTCTGCTCCTACGGATGTCTTTGACACTACGGTATTTCATTCGTTCAATTGGTTTTGAATATTAGGAGGACGGGCGGGCTGATTTGCCTTGTCCTTTTCAGGTTCTCCTACAGGAAGCCTTTTTTTCGCTGTTCTTCACCTCGGTGAGTGTTATTTCCCTTTCCTTCAGTGCACGCATCGTTGCACTACTTTTTCAAGGTCATATTACATTCGATGTTGTCACTGTCGAGGAGGTGCCAACTTCATTTCACATGGGCGGTGGTGATAGCTTTCCCTACTCATCAAGGCTCTTTGGCTTCAGCTCCCACCTTTCCTAAATTGTGTCAAAGCTTGATTGAGTAAAGTATGAGTACGTATTTCCCACGCTAATTGTCTTTCATGGTTTCCCTGTGAAAAATGTTGTAGTATGCCTGGAATTTGAAAATTTAGGTGTGCTTCGCCTGACCTCAGGCGCACATACAAAGCTGTTTTAGGTAGCCCTTGACCTCGTGCAGCCAAATCAGTGCTACTTCTTGCTCATGTTGTTTCTGAACCTACATGATGATGAAATTTTTACTACTAAACTAATGAATTGCATTCTATTGTGTCAGGCTGTTGTTCGAAGCTTCGGCAAGTAAATAACACTTGTCTTTCAATCAAAAACTTATTCATTACCCACTAAACACACGGAAACCTAACATCTTTTGGAAAGGAGTGTATGTGGATTGCTTTTGATGGTATCGTTTCATTTTGTACCGATTGGGACTGATATAATCTGTCAGCGCTTTTGCAGTCACTCGATTGGAAGATATTTGGATTCTCGCACTGGAACAGCTTCTATAAGTTCTGCAAATTTGAGAATGTGGTTAGATTCTGGCTTTACTAGAACAGCTTCGTGTGAGGTCTTTTTGGAGGATCGGTTTGAGTCTTAACTGGTGCAGGTGTTGTTTTTTGACATGGGCTTAAGTTTTAGCGATTAACGTAATACTCTTGCACCTAGGCGGGCGGGCTTCCTTTAGATTTGAAAAGTTTATTGCTAAAGGTGGTCCATTGGTATTGCCAACAGGACAAACGGCAAGTGGAATGCTCTGAACTTGACGCTGCGCACCTTTGGTTTAACCTTTGCCTCATCTCCAGCTACTGTCAACCGCCACCCAAAGCGTCGTTCGACACACCGCTCAAGCTACTTTCTCCCATCCCTACCAGCTTTACAAAATTTACCACCTTTGCGCTGGAGAGTCTCCGTGGTGAGTTGCACACTTCCTCTTCTTCCTCCATTCTGATCAACCATCTGCCCTGGAGTCGAGGAGGTGAATGCGAGGGTCCAATAAAAACTGATGTCTCGGTCAACAGTCCCTCAGAGTGGGAAAGGATCTTATGTAGGCCTTCCTGTTCCAATTTTCGGGCTACAAATTAACAAAGAAATCATACAATGTTCTTCATTGTTTTATTCCAGCGTCAGTGGACGCCTATGAGCGGTTCGTCTTAGAAGCCGAATTCCGTCAATCTCTTGTACTCGCCGGTCCCCTCGATATCTTCCTTCTCGACTTGGCGTCTGCCTTCTTCGCTACTACGGTAAAGATTCTAAAATTTAGCTTGATTACTTTTTGCATCGTTGGCATAATTTTGGGTAACAGAACTGTTCGTATTAATGTCCTCCTCATCTGCAAATTTCATATGAAGGAGAGCACCACTTATAAGTTTGGTAGGGACTTCGTTGTCTTTAGTAGGGTGCGTGGGTTTTTTGTGCCTGCACAGCAGTAACTAACTTCACAATTAAGCGATATTTCAATAGAATTACCTAATATTGTGCATTTAATGTGCGAAATCGGTTTTATTCAAATTGAGGTCATTAAAAGGTTCCCTGCTCTTTTTATTATTTCCTTTAGAAATCTGTCAAGCCAGAATCTACTGACGGTACGTATCTTTGTATGTCAAGGCCTTTGCTCCATGTTAACGAGATTTTTGCCAGTTTTGTGCGACTTCCGTAATTTGTCTTTTGGTCAATGCTAATTGTTCCCTTCATTAATAAAACTGTAAAAGTGACCCATTGGCATTGCGACTGAATCCAAGTGTCTCCCTCTTTTAGAAAACGCATCTTTGTTATTTTGTGCGGAAAATGCAATTCTAACTCTATGTAATCTGCTGCAACTTCGAGGTGTCCACAACGCCCTTACAACGGTCTCAAATGAAGATGTCTTCATCCAAGGCCTCGTCCACCTCATCTCTCTGCACCCAGAACCTCTGGGTCGGTGTCTCACTGCTCTCTTCTGCATCCTCGCCCCCACCCCTCTTACTCCTGTCACACTCTCCCGCCTCCACCTCCTCCCCCCGGATTCCCAGCTCTCCTTGGATCCGCAACCTCCTGTAACCTTCCGCCTCCTCGCCACTTACCTTCTCGATGCTTCCTGCTCCCATCCCAATGTAATTGAGACCTACTGCACTGCCGCAGTTAGTTCTCCCTTCACTGATCTTCCCTCCCACATGGCTCAACTCATTTCTCTCCTTTCCGCTGCCTTCTCTAGCCATGCCTCCAAAAAGACCCTTCTTTCTGCAATCGTTGATGCCCTCATTGACCCAGCAGGTGTTGATCTGCTTCGTTCTCTCCGTCTCGTAGTCCTACTGCGTTACCAATTACACTATATATTTGATCCACCGCGTCATCTAAACGCTCAAGTTCGGCCTGCCATCCTCGGCTCGGAGAAACAGGTTGTTTGGGAGTTTGCTAATCTAGCGGGTCGAGGGCCCTCTGAGGGCTACTTCTATGATCTTCTTCATGGAAAGAGTAAAACCAGTTCTGCCACCCCTTCCACAATGTGTCCTGCCCCGCCGCAAGATGGGTTGGCCATCATGACATTGGTTGCGCGGCATGATTATGATAAGGTTTTTACCAGCATGCTGCTTCTATTTGATTCATGGTGGCAGTCGACTCTCTTACACGCTGCTTATGGGGCACAGTTGAGTTGGCGCCTATTGGAAATCCTCCCACCTTCTGCAGGCTTTATGGAAGAGATCTCCTCTGTTGTAAATGGAGCTGAGTTTGAGAAAGACTGTGCACATCACCGCATCTTCTACCTCTTTGTTCTCTTTGACCGACTGCGTCGCCTACCCACCTCCATTTCCTCCTCATCTTTTACGTCAGGAAGTGTGGAAAAAGAAGCTAAACGGAGCAAACATCGGATTGAGGCCATTGCTGTGTGTTCTCTATTCCTACCCTATGTGTGGAGATGAATATTCATTCTAATCGTCACTATTTCATCCTAGAATGAAACCTTTAAAGCTCAGTCCTCGCGCTATACAAAGTCACCGAAGCCTGCCTTTTCCAGCGTCGAAGGCTACGAAGTCTTCTTCTCCGTCCTGCGCAGTTACAAGACCCACATGCCAGTTCTGCTCACGGAGGCCCTGAACCAACTGCGGAGTCTTCAGGGTATCCTGAATGATAGGATTCATCTGACCGATTCCAATTTGGTGTTTTGGCGCGTTGTTGTCCACGCACTACGGACTCTGGTCTCACGGATTCAGGTTGGTGGTAAACTTTACACGCCGGGAGAATCAGAGCCGCCTCCACTAACGACGGGAACAACGTCCTCGACGAAAGGAGGAGGCAATGAACCACCGAAGATTTGCTCCACGGGTACACAGAGCTCTGGCTCTGTTGGTTCCTGTATGGAGGCTGTGGATACCATGAGTCAAATGAGGAAGAAACCTGGGGTGAGCATCCCTGTACTTTGCGATCGAAAGCCCAACTTATTGCTGTATTTGCATGTAATTACTGTGATTACTGAAGGCATGAAATCGAATTCTGTGGGAAGGTAATTCACTCAATTCTCTTTCACAGCTCGACCCAGAGCTATCCTATTTCCTCGATTCATTTCTTCAAATCGCTGTGAGTATGATGGAGTCTCTCTTGCAACAACTTCGAGTTGCAGTTGGGTTTTCCCGCAACGGAGTGATAGAATGCCTTTGTCCTGATCGTCTCGTTCCCAGTGACACTGAGAACTCCTTCCTTCTCGACAAAGTGATGACCAGACGTTTAGTGGACGCTTTGCGACATGCCTCCAGCAGTTCTGATGAAAATGAGGGAGAGACAAAGACAGAAGGAGCTCTCCTTTATACATGGAACAGCCTTGTCCGTGACAATGGTCCTCGAGATTGGCCTGTGAGCTCTCCAGGTGTTTTGTCTTCCTACCAATAACGTTCTTGGTCGTCTAATTGTAATGCCTCGTATTTTTTTATTCGTAGATATCAGAAACAGACACCCTTTCTCAAGTCTCTTTTAATCGCCTCATTAACGTTCCTGTGGAAAGTACCTCCACTCCCAGGTCCATCTTAGTTGGCTATTTGCTCAAAGAGATCGCACTATTTGCAGAAGCTATAGTTCAAAGCCCTCGAGGTTCTATGAGCTTAGGATCGGCTAACTCAATTTCCAAGGAGGAAGCGAATAAGATTCTGACTATTCTATTCCGCCTACAACTCAACCCTCTGGTCTTCAGTCTTGGCATCGATCTCTCCAATGTACTGCATTTCTACGCCGTCCACATCAAGAACGTGCACACAGAGGCTGTGTTAACACGCGCTACGGAAGACCTTGTTCTCGATACACTCGTTTACGGCGCGGTGAATGTCACGTCAAAGCGTCTGCGAGCGGAGATCTTTGCCTATCTGGAGGCAGCCACTGGTCTCCCTCGTGTGCTCAAACGTGTTATCAGTGGTGATCTGCCTCTTTTTAAAGCCCTTCAGTCCGATCCTATCCTGGTTGAGTATCTACGTCTTTTCTGCTTTTTCCTCCTTAGAGGTGTGTCTTGTGATGTGAAAAAATCTTATGCCATTTTGCGTATCTCACTGTCTTCTCCCTTTCCGCAGCCATCAATCCGCAATCCAACGTCGAATTGTACACTGCTGCAGCGAACAAAGCTCTTCAAACAGCATTGGATGACAAAGTGGTTGCTAATGTAGTCGCCTCTGTGCTCGATAATAAGGGAGACACGACCTCCAAACAATCACAGCGCTACTGCGTCTTTGTGGAGCGCATGCTTCGACTCATTGCTACGCCTTGGGCTGGTTCGGACGAAATCAAAGAACGATGTCTACAAATTCTTTTATGGGAATTAAACCAGCGAGGGTGTGAGTGTCCAATCAGGGGTCATTACATCGTTTCTGGCATGCGTTGTCTCCTTTTGGCCCCATGGAATCGTATGGTCTCGTATTACGGACGAATCGCCGAGGTTTTGGCGAACTGGGCTGAAATGGCGCAGACTCGTTTGACAATTGAAAAATGCGCCGAAACAAAAGTGCGGCGATGATGGCTCACACGAACTTAGGATTTTCGTTTCCGTAGGCTTAATGCCCAATGTTTTTTTTGTAGAAAAATCTTCTTCTCACCATTTGCGCTATCTACGACTGCTTCACTCTCTTCCTTCGTGCCTTTACATCTCCCACACCTGCTGATAGCGGTAGTATGACTCTTCCAGATCCTCATTACGTTGAGAATCGAAATCGCACTGCGGTTCGTGGTTTCAAGAACCCCGATTTGACGAAATTGTTTTCCTTTTTCACACATCTCCCTGGGGATGACGGTAGTTTTTATCATTTGCGACTCGGGAGTGGATGGAACTCGGCTCTAGACAGCTATCTTTTCCATGCGCTCTGCGGACCGGCGGCAGGCAGAAGTGCGGTGGTTCCTCATCTCCTCTCTTCCCTTCCTTTCAATCAATCCGCCTCGTCTCCTCTAGAACGGGTCTGTGAGGAGGTCTGCACCTTTGCGTCCACCCAACACCACTACATCCGTCAGCCATGGTACGGGTGCAATACCTGTGGGCTTATTACCAATCATGGGTCCTGTCATCTTTGCGCCAAAGTGTGTCACAGTGGACACGACTTAGTGTATCAGAACACCAGCGAGTTTTTCTGTGACTGTGCAACTGAAATGGGACAGGTGGGAAGGTGTCACTCGATGATGAGAAGAGTGACAGGCGGTAGAGATGGAATACTGAGGAATTTCCTGCCCTGGACCAATGGTGAGTACGAAAGATGTTCTCATTTACACCTCTCCATTTCTCCTGAATCATCGATTGTTTATTAGCTGACAATTCGTGCTTCTGCTCCTTGAACTGATGTACTGTTGAGCTACTTTTATGGCGGTGCATGCAGCAAAAATAAGGATAGGGACTTCTGTTTGATTTACTTTTGCATTAAAATTTAAAGCATACGTATCGAGATGTGGTGTTGATGATTTAACGGAAGCTAGAAACATCTGATGATGCTGTCAAAATAGTGCTTACGCCTTCTCAGTCTTACTTTAAAATAAAGGGTTAAAAGTGTGTTTTCCGTCCCCTTATCAACTTCGCTAGTCACCTGCTTCCAGTCGTCTGTCCACGACGAGACCTGTGAGCTGATCCTTAAAGCTGCCTACCGTCACCCCCCTGTTAATGCTGAGGTCGCCTTAGCCGGCCCACCCCTTAATCCCCTCTCTACCACCACCTCGGCGACAAACACTAGCAACACGGCCGCTCCGATGGTTTCTACCTGCTCCTCTTCCGTCACCTTGGCTACCACTACGACCACTGCTGCTCCTGCTTTACCTCCTCGTAACAGCGAGTGGATAACAGTCGAGTCTGGCTCTAGCGATGCTAACATAATCCACCGGATACGTCGGGCCGGAGCCCTCCGCCGACGTCCCGGCCTAGTTGCCTCCAAGTCTACTTCTCGTGAAGGCGGTAGTGGCGGTGCCCCCGTTGGCACTGCCCCCGTCAATTCTCAGCCTCCAATCGATCTTGTTCCCTGCCTCTCAGTCGTTTACGGTCTCAATGGCGAAGGGGCGTGGAGTAAGAAGCTGAATCTCTGGGTTATGGACCCCGAGGCTCCTAGACGGCGAGCTATTGAAAGCTTTCAACGGAAATTTGGGCACAGGCCACAGCCCTTCATTGAAGCTGTCGTCGATCGTCTTCGAAGTCAAGTAGTCCTTCTCTTATCTACTCTTACTGCTTACAAAATGCATCACTTATTTCGCCTCCCCCTCTTCAGGTGTCTAGGCTGAACGAACCTAAAGTGAATCATATTTTGGGGTTAATCAAGTCACAAGCGATGTTCAGATTAGGCCGTAATCTCCTAAGAAGGGAACTCACTCCTTTGCTTCATTCTGCGACTGCCTCTTTTGCGGATGTATTCAAAAGCATAGCAGAACCGGAAAACCTACACTCCTCTGCTATTCAGCATCTCACTTCGGCCAATCGTAAATCCCCTCACCGAATCATCATCTCTTCGCGTATCGTGGTACGTTGAGCTTTAAATGTCACGAAATTTTGATACATTTAATCTTATTTTTTTCCTAAAGACGCCTGTGCTGCTTCTTGATTCCGAGTACGCGTCGGCAGCAAAGGAGATTCTGCAATTGCTTTCTCCATTACCTCAATCACCCATTCCATCTCCATCCACCACCTCGATTGCAGCCCCAAATCTCTCATCTGTACCCTCTACTCGCGGCTCCTCTGTCACCGGTGGACGCCAACGCAAACCCGCAACTGACCTTACTTCCTTACACCATTGGATTGCTGATGTTTTTGCCCCTCGACGTAGCCACCACCTATTCGACCATTCAACTGTTGTCTCACCATCAATGCCCTCAGGATCAACAGGTATTGAAGGCCGAACTGAGAATTCGAACGCTACCGATGCTATTGCAGCCCTCACCCGAGTTCCCTCCATATGTGGGTGGCGACACTACCTTCTCATCGCAATGGCGCTGCCATCGCCTTCTCCTGCCTCCCGGTCTCGCGAAGAGGGCTCAGTGAGCGTCTTCCAAGTAGATGACCTTTTTTCCACTGCAGCAGCATGTCAGGAGAGTGTGGAAGGTGCTGTGAGGGTTGTGTCTGAAGCAGCACGAGACACATCCTCTCCACCAGAGCTGCGAAGTTTTGTGGTGCGCCTCTCCACTCTTCCACGAGTAAGCAAAATCAATTGTGGATTTGAGGTCACGCGACTGGCAGTGCATCCGACGAATGAGGCAATGTTCACAGCTAACAACCGGCAGACGTGTGTCTTGTTTGGCCTCTCACCCTTAGGCCAGGTCTGCGGACGCTTACTCATAAACCCGCTAATAGAGACTAAAGATGAATTCATAATTAAGCCAGTCTGGTTGCCCGGGTCGTCGCGGTTCATCGCGTTGCTGACCACGAATTCTGTTCAGGTAAGTCTGGCTGTAGTTTTGAGCTGCCCTCCAACATGTAGCAGTCAGGAGACACATAGGTTAGTATTGCAAATGAAGATCATGTTGAATTATGGATGAAATTGCCGAAATATGCCCCTACAAGATCTCCATATACAGGCCTTTTATTTATGGTTCTATGAGGACTCATTACAGCAGTAAGACAAGTGCAGACTATTCGCACTCCCTGGTTGTAGTAGTTGTGAAGTTGAAAGGGATGGAATCATGGCGATTATTGAAGAAAACGTGTTTCTTGCTTTTGTGTTTCTCACATTTTGATATTGTTTCCGCACTCACTAGATCTTTGATGTCTTCACAAATTCGCCCAAGCTGCTGTACTACTTCAAGCCAGTGGAAGGGAACTTCGTTGATGCCACCTTCATCCACGCTCCAAGGAGGCGTAAGGGCATCGCTAATTCCAAGGATCCCACGGATTCCACAATTGACAGTTACCACTTTTCTGATGTTATTCTGGTTGTTATGGCCACATTCGGTTCCATGATGCTACAGGTAGGCGGTCTCCCTCCCAAGACCATATGCTACTGAGCTATTATTCAGTAGCTGGTTGCTCTCCCATCCTGAATGATTAATACCTGAGATCGTGCAACCTACCTTTTGATTTTCTCGACTCTAAGGTCATCACGTTGGATGCTAACCTATACTTAGCTTTATTAAAACCCTTTGTCCTGGTGTAAATAAAATCGGTAATTCTCATTCCTGAGTTCAAAAAATTGAGTAACTCGCCAGTCTAGCCTTAATCTGCCTGCTTATCATCAAAAAATGCGTTCAGTTAATATTTTATTCCTCTGTTGTTCATTTGTCATTCTAGCGTGAATATATCATTTTGTGTCACCACAAAATGTTTGAGTTTGGACGCACTGAAAGCTTTTGAATCTGACTCTACTTTTCATTTTATAACGAACTAATCAACATAAGCTAGCCATGAGTAACTTACTATCGGTCAGCTGACTATCTGCAGCTTCTACTACGTAACGTGCATCATCATTGGGTAATTTCGTCTGATTCTTGCCATTCAGCGTCTACTCCTAACGACGCGCGTAAGTCAGGGCCACTTCTACCTGGCAGAGAGCCTTGATTGGGAGAGTGCAGGCTTGTGCGAACTCGATGGAACGGAGGCTGGTTCATTATCACTAGATTCGCTGCGCAACTCCAGTACCGCTACCATGGCCGAGGGAGGAGCCAGTGTCTTCTACGCTCCAAGTCTACACCTCCTCTTACATTCTTACAACTCTGGTCACACATTTGCTACTGCCATCAGTTTTTTGGATGAAGGGGAAGTGAAAGTGAACCACTCATTCCTCATCACTGGAGCCAAGGTCTCATCAAGCTCTAGCTCAACTCCGGTCCCCTCGACGTAGGTGATATCCATCCATCTGCAGACTTAAAAAATAGCCAATACTCTTTGTTTTTTTTACTGGCATTTCGTCGAGGCTTTGATCTTTCCACTTTTTCACTAAGATATACTCATTCCTTTAGACTGCCACAATCGAAGGAACCTACTGATAGTTCAACGTGGAGCGGACCGCTCCATGATTGGGCGGAGGTTCTTGAGCACCCAGGCATTCTCACAGCCACAGCGACTGAAACCACCACCACGAGTAGTGGGACCTATAGTCTACGTCGTAGTTTAGTCATAGCAGTGGAGCCAGATACAATTTGGATCCAACCATTGCCTCTGGAAGCCCAAAAGCCCCTCTCAAAATCAACAGAAGAGGCAAATATTCCTGCTTCTGGAGTTTCATCAAAGCCTGATGGGAAATCTGATGGTATCCTTGTTTTCTCTTTCCTCCCAAATCTCCGTTCTTGTATTTTCACTTTTTTTCCTCTCCTAGGCGAAATTTTATCCCCCTCACCTGTGGCTGCATCTCTAACTAGATACTGGAGTGGCACCCAAACCTATGAGCCTCGTCTCTTTACCCTTCAAATCTCGCGAAGCAGTTCTGTTCAAGTATTCGTTGGACCTCCCGCGTATGTACACTTCTTTCGTCCCTCCTCTCAAGGCGAGAGTTTTATTCAGCTCTTATTATCTCCAGATCTCGAACAATTGACACACTCCCAGCTGACTCCTCCTCCTGCCAAGCAGAGGAAGCCACTTTCATCACGAAACATAACCTTCTCCCTACCCTGCCTGGACAGTTCTGGCTGCAACCAGCCCTGGTTTACCGGGAGCCATATTCCGACTTCAGAACCAAAGCTGTGGAGGTTCCGGTAATGCTGGAAGATCTCCTTCTTTGGGACGTCTCTGCCAATAACATGGTTCCCAGTTTCGGCAAACCCGAAGCTGCGACCATCCGCGATTTTTCCAGTTATGCACTGAGTGCCTTGCCTGCATTGAGAATTATTCTGGAAAGAAGTGAAACTGGCTCTCAGCTACCATTCTGCGATTTTCATGAGTGGGCCTCAATTAGTGAAAATGTAAGCAGTCATATTGATATGAGTGATGTGATAATCTAATTTTCTCTTATTTCCTGTAGGTGAACTTCTACAGCCGTGATCTGATGAGTATCTATAATCATGAGACGTTGAACCACCGCCTGAAACGTGAAAGCATGCCGGTCACTTTTTCGGGCCGTAGCTCCACTTCCTTGCCGCAGAGCCTCAACTCAAGGGACGTCGCTTTCGTGATCGATATTGAAGTTCTAAGACCGGCAGAAGAAGTAATTGTGGGCTTGCGGATAGGACTGACCGATACCTGCCGCCCGCGATTCCTCTCGGTATGTGGTGACTTTCGTGGGTGAGGGATAAAAAGTAACTCGCAGAATAAAACTCCCAATGACTACACTTTTTTCCCCTTTGAACACAGGTTTACGATCGTGTGTTCACTCTTGACACAGATAAGAGGAGCGACAAGAAGAATCAGTTGATGTTCATGGACTTGCCCCTCAAGTTGTCAGAAATACTGCAAGTCGGCTCCGAAGAAACTCCCACTAAGGAATTTGAACCGGTTCGATTGTATGGTGAGTACTCCTTTTTATGCCGATTTAGTCTACGGTCTTCTTCAACCTGTCTCATAACCCTTTAAGCCTGGGACTCATAGTTTTTTGCATTCAAAGAGGTGCTCCCTATCCTTTCTGCCATTCTTTGCATGGGACTTGCGAAAGTAAGGAACCTATTGGTTCAGGCCCGTTAAAAGTCCAACATGATGTATTATTTGGCACTTTAACCGATTAAATTATGAGAATCTGCACTTCTGACCCATTTTACGGTGATTGTTTAATTTAGTCGGGCAAAGTCAGCACTCCGACTCACTTACCAGCATCGATCGTATTCTCGTGTATACTGTGCCCCGGTCTCTCATTGATCCCTCTCTCCTCGTCTCCCATGACGGTATTAATGCTCAAAATCAGCGAGCCACAAACATTCAGGAGCTGATGCTACGTTTTAGTAACAAGGAATCTCGAGGTACGTACATCTCACTCCTTCAGCCTTCCCTAACCTTTAATTGTCATATACTTTACAGTTTGTCGTTCTCTTTCCCTCCACAGTTGCTCGCTACAACACTTACTTGGTGAGGTGGTTTGATCGTTTGATGACGTCGGGCTTTGTCACCACCATAGCCACTCTACCGGCTCAGAGTAGGGGTGGTGTCTGTGAGTTCACCACGCCGGTGTACGATAATGTGGGCGATCTCAGTTCTTGTATAGTTGCTTCAGTAACTGACTTCTTCCAGTCTGCGATCGCTTTTGCTCAGGTGAATTTGAATGCTTTTAGTGAAATAATCTCGGACTGGTTCTAATTCTCCATCAATATACACCCTAAATACTATGTTAAATTGATCTTAGAGCGAGTTCTCTTGAACTTAGTTTCTTCTTTTTCATGTATTAGCCACTGACAGTATATCCGCAACTGTCTGCTTAGTTTACCCGACCACGTTCTGGCAGTGAAACTGCTACAATTTCACTCCTATTATCTCTGATCAGCAGAAACATTTGGACTGTGGCATCCTCCTGTAAATTCGTTTAGGCACCAAAATATGCGCTCTTTTTGGAGATGATAAAATTATTTTCTCTTACAAAACTGCTGTATTTTGGATTCTTTCCTCTAGGAAACTGCAAAGTTTACTTTTGAGGAGCTCCAACCGTTTTTCGCGTCTGCATTGAGCAAGTCCCTTTTGGAGGCATTCGTGCATCCTCACAGCAATACTGCGTGCACTGTTACCGACCTTATCCGCCTACATTCCCTCTGTGATAACGAAGACTCTACTACCTCTCTCATTTCTCCTAATACCATTATCTCCTCTCTAACCTCGGACTTTCTCAGCGTTCTCACTTCTTTCCCTGCTACTCCGCGTCTCTCTGCCTCTGCTAAAGCTATCGCACAATTCTCCCGTGTCTGGCAAATGGCTCACGAGTACGGGGGTGGCGTCAGCGCGAGTGCCCCGAATGATCTTACGATCAAACTTTTCACTGTTCTACAGAATCAGCTGCTGTTCTCGGAGGAGGAAGTTCTGCTTCCAGATATGTTCCAGCAGGTGAATACGCTCTGGGTAAAGTTGCTTCAGGGTCTCTTGAAAGTGGCAATCTTTGTGTTAGCAGAATCGTGCTGCAACAACCCTTCCACACCTTCCTCACTGGTTCCTGTAATAGGGGACATCATTATTCGTCTTTTGACTCACAATCAATCCCAAATCGCTTGTAACACGAGAGACATTCTCTGCAGTATCCTGGTTTGTCTTTTTTCTGGCAATCACCGAATCGCCAAGCATTTCTTTTATTCTCCTTCACCCTCACGCTCGGGTCCATCTATGTCTTCTCAATCACGAAAAACTTCTCCATCTAGCCAGAAGAAAGGGAAAGAGGAGGATTCTCGGAAGGGCTCTGTTGATAATGTTGGTGATGATGATGATGACGACGATGACGATACTCTCGGAGGTGGTGAAGGTAGTGGAGGCTCAAAAAATACTACCTCAACCGGTAATTTTCGTTTGCGGCGCATCCGATGTCCCCGCTTTGTATCGAAGAGGCAAGGTAACCTAGGTTCTACCTCTTTCGTTACCTCTTCCGTCAACAATAATGAGAGTAGCGCTGGTGTTGGTGAAGTAGACGATGGCAACTTGGAAGAGATTGGTCGGACTCTCAATGAGATGTTACAGTTCATTGCATCAGCAACTAACATCTTAGGTAATGATGCCGATGATGATGAGGATGATGATGAGGAAGAAGATAACCAGGAAGGTGCTGTCAGAGCGGCTGAATCACTCCGTCAAAGGTGGGATGGTGCACTTTCTCGATACCAGTCGTTGCGAGAGGCTGTAGACGAATTAAGACGCAGTTTTGGGTCTCGCCGAAGGGGGAGACCGTCAGCGACCGTAGTGTTTGATGCCAATGATCCTATTGTGAGTACTTGCTTGTTCTGGATGGAATTAGGTCTACTGTCTCGTCTATTTTACTCAGTCATTGAAGCTAAAGTGTCGTTTTCTTTTGAATCGCTTTCATTACCTCTACAAAGTTCACTGAGGCTAACGTTAGCATAAAGCAGTTTTAGATGTAACTAAGGGATTGGTATCTGAAGAGACAGGCTATGATCTCAAAAGTGGAAAGGATTAAAAAATCCAGCGTTGTTGTGTACGTATTTGTCTTTTTCATAGCGCTTCATGGATGAGTTAAGTGAATTTGAGGATGATACTCAACATAATCGTGGAGAGGCAGAGAACAGTCAGGAGGAGTCCGAAGCTGAATTGGCACGTAAATATGGGTTGTTTGGTGATGACGATGGTGTGGAAGGTAGTGGAGCCAATGGAAATGATGGCAATGCTGAAAATGCAGATGGTGATGAGATGAAAGAGGCGTCTACTGATGAAGACAACGATGAAAATGATGGTGTTGGCAATGGTGAGGGTAAAAGTGGCAATAGCGAGGGTGAAATGGAAGCCGCTCAAGACGCTGACGATGACGGCGACTCCGACATGGCCAGAGGTACGCTTATCTATTTCATTTGTGTCGTTTATCCCCTCCTGCCTTTGCAGACATCTTCCAATATGTGGTGGATTTGCTCTCCACACATCCCATTGACTCGGAGACGGTGGGGAACACAGCTCAAGAGACAGTGAGCGCACAAGATTCGTCCGTTGCGTCGCGGTCTCGTGTAGTGTCCCGTGATAACGAAGGCGGCGGGGGAAGTAGCTCTAGCGGAAATGATACATTGTCTCACGAATTGGGTCTTTTTGATACTGCTTTTTTGGAAAATATCGATGAGGACGTGGTGCGTTATTGTTGTTGGTCTTAAATGTAGCCTCTGATTTCTTGTTGTTGATGTTGACGGACATCGTATCCACGTGTTCAGCTCATGAATCTAGCCCTTCAACGAAGCATTCGGGATCAGGGCGGTCCAGGCACTGCTGCTTTATTGGAAGAGCAGGCGACTCAATTTAGAGTTTCTCCACAGGTGAGCTTTTCCTCCACTCATCCATGGTATGTTCAGTTATCTCTGACTCATAGTATCCACCTCTTGTGTGATCTGGGTCATTTCAACCCTTAAGAGGCGCTACTCCCTCACCAAACCGATTTTAAATGGAAATTTTTTGTTCTCTTGTGGTTATTTGGGCTTTCAGTCTGTCGATGAATCACCACTAGCAGTCATGACAACAACGACAAATGCTTCGAATTCAATGGATGCCGTAGTGACGCCGGCGGCTAGATCAGCAGTTTGGGTGAGTAAACCATCGGATCACTGTAGTTTGAAGGCTTTATTACTTGGAAAACAAAATGATGCTATTTCATTTCTCATATTCTTTGTTTTAAGACCCAAGTGTTTCCGGCAAGCAGGCCTGGTGTCGAAGTTGGTGAGTTGAGCTTCATGATTGTATCTAGTCTCCCAACCAGCCGCTAAACCGGATTCCACCTAACTCTGACTGAGAACTAGATACCACTTGCAACCTCAAAAGGGCAAACTTAACACCCAATGGGTGAATTTCAAAACCTGTCTTTTTTGAGGCTAGAAAAGGTTTTTTTCATATTATATGTGACAACACAGGTATCGCCCCGATTCCTAGCTGTCCTGTCTCTTTGCATCGCCTTAACTAACTGTGTCTTTGATTTCTTTATTGTCATGGTCATTACTGACTTCCTTCAGCGTTTGAATTTTTTGATTTTCTAACTGTCGGTAAGTAGCCCACTAGGTTTAGCGATATGGAGTTGCATGGTTGCGACTGGACAACCTTGAAGGTTACGTCTTAAATACTGTAAATTGTATCAACCTGACTGTCAGTGATGGAGTTGTGGACGTGATGTAGGGCATGCGGGTTGATGAATTTCTAACCTTACTTTTTATGAATACCCTAAGTAAAGAGAGATGAGTAGTAAATACCATCGATCTCGCACTCTAGCTTTCACTCGAATTTGTTGTAGCACACTCTTATATGACTTCCTCCCCTTCCCATCAGGTCGAAAAACTAGCAATGAGTCAGCAGGCAGTGAGCTCTCCGAAGGTGTTCTGGCCGACCTCTTTGAAGATATGGATGCCACTCCCACCGGCCTTCCAAGCACCCCTACTAGTTCCTGTGCCAGGTTAGTTGGACAGCGGTTTTTGCATTTTCTCTCTGTTAGCGCTTATGTGATTGCTTCTCCCTTATGTTCCGTCTAGTTGGGGCTTCTCCTCTCACATTGATTCCTTGGACGATAATGAAAACGATGGTGGTAGCGATAAAGCTAGTGACAGTAGTGACGAGGAAGATGATGAAAACCATGAAGATAATAACTCTACCCCGCCTTCAAGTCCTCCACCTGACCCTCCAAGCGGTACTCAGAGCTTCCTGCCACGTGATAGGCAGAGTCTAACGGCAGCTCGGGCCTGCATCGCATTCATGGGCCACCTCGTGACTGCCTGGGAGAAGGTGATAGATGTGAGTGACGAGGCAGAGGCAGAAGATAGCAAACGGCTGATGCCCCTGATGCAGACCACCTTCACGCTTTGCCGCCTGCTGGAGGCCATCGCGCAGTGCTCGGAAATATCGGAGCTTGAGGAATCTCTTAAGAAAACAGCTGATGTAGCAAGGTTTGCTAGATTGGATTTTCCTATCCGTAGACGAATTGTTGTAACTTGCAAACTCATCCGATCTCAAGTTTCTTAACTATTTTTAACCCTGATCGAATAATTCTGGATCTATAACTCGAATCCATAGTATGGAACTGTTTTTGGTGTTGTTTCTGACTCGTTGACCAAGGCGATTTATCTCTTGGGTACAGGACCACTTTGACAGATCTTGTGACAACACTAGCCACCAGCCTCCTCCGTCTTCATCGCCATTTTCAACAATCTGAAACTCCACTAAGCACCTTGTTTAAACCTACACCGCGCTCTGAGCGCCTTCTTCTTGTGGCCAGCCTACTAGCTCGAATTCTTTCCATCTCCTCTACATCGGGTACTATGGACATTGATAAGAACAACGAAAACGGTGACAGCAGTGGAAGTGAGGAGGTCATTAAGACCTCGCCCACTGCCCGTCTGGTAGGTAAAACGGTCCTCAGCGGACTTGCTGACCTTACCTCAAGCGAAAGTCTTTTCGCCAAGTGCATGGACGCCTGTTTGAGCGTTGTGGAGGCCCTTTCTGCGAAGTGGGAGAAAAGTCATACCGTGTGTTTACTCTCTTTATTATTCACTGGTCCTATCTGATGTCACTGACCCCCGTAAGAACTATACTTTCATCACCTTTAGTGGCTCCTTGGTGAGAACATGTCTTCCAGCGCTTTAGTCACCACTACATCAGGTCGCCGGAGCCATCGCAATAACGGGGCTTTTAATCTGCCTTATCTCACAGCCGGCCTTCTTCAGTGCGCTCGCAGTGTCAATTTCTCCAGTCTCACCAATGGTTTTGGAGTAGGGCTGACGAACTGTGCACCCATCTTGGATGCCCAAGCTTCTTTAGTTCACCTACACGCTCCGCTTCACGTAGACTTCGATCTCCAACTTACTGAGGCCGCTGTTCGACTAGCCATCTCCCTCTTTACTTGTGTTCGTGCTGGAGAATCAAGGAAGGAAATTGATGGTGAACACGAAGAGCTGAAAAAGAGGTGGTGCGCGTTGGTGTACAACCTATTGCAGTCTCTCACTTCTGAGTCATCCTCTTTTACCGAGTCAGTATCTACAACAGCAGCAGCGTCTTCTCCTTCGAAAATGAGCTCAAGCGTGCCTATCATTACTCGATTGGTGGGACTTATGCGTTCAGTAAGCTTTTCTTTTAGTGTTATTCATATTCCCATTAGTTCTTTTGTCAAGCTGCTGTTTTGGACTTTTTAAAGGTTCCAGCATCTCCTAGGAATTCGCTTTCGATATTTTAAAATCCCATGGTCACACGCTTTTCCTCTTCGTAGCTGCTGGTCTTCCTGGTGGGACATAAACATTATCGTCAGTTGAAAGACATCCATCTTCTGAGTCAATCGCTTATTCGAATGCGTGGTGTGTACGAAATGAGCTTAGAGCAGGTGGGCAACGCCGATGCCGCTTCTCCTTCATCCTTCTACCCGCTGTCCCTCTCTTATCCTAGCGAGTGTCTCATGGTACGTCTTGCCTCTTTCTTCTAGCTAACCCATCACCCGATCATCATTCTTTTCCTTGCTCTACCAGCTTAACTGTATCAACACATGCCTTGATGTCGCACTATCTGACCGTTCCTCATGGCAACGTCTTTGTTTAAGGAAACTGGGTAAGTGGGTCTTAACTCTTCCTCCCCTCTCCACCTCTCCTCTCCTTGCATTTCCAATTCCTAATTTCTTGTATCAAATTCTGTTTAGATGATCTGATCTTCATGCTGAAGGCGAGTCTTCGTGTTCGCGATATCTTAGCCCTTGGTCTCTTGACCCTAGTCCTTGTGGCGATTCTTCCCGACGCCCAACAGGCCAAATTGGGCATGGTATTCCATCTTTGAATTTGTTTTTCTTTTTTGCAACTCCGCCATTCTTTTGAAGGAAAATTATCGAACATTAATTTTAGTGGTATTGGGTTGTTTATGAACAATACGCTATCACTTCACCCTATATGTTTACTGTCTTCGAAATTTTTTGGAAAACGATGTTATTTTGCTTGTAATGTGCATACCATTTTTCAGGCTACTTTTGGCGGTGCGCTTTCGTCACCGTCTACAAAAACAGTGGGAGGCAATACAAGTGGATGCTCTGCCACCACCAGCTACGCCAACAAATTGGTTGTTAAGGTGGGTCGGCTGCTCCTTGCAATGGATGGTGAGGATAGAATCAAAAACCCTTCTACCTTCCTCCTCAACTTCGTCCGAGGGAACGTCTGTTGCCGTGCGGATCAGCGAATTCGTTGCACTGCCTCCCTCATCATGGCTGCTCTTGTTAGGTGAGCCACCTTATCCACTGCAGCTACCTTCTTAGGTAGTCTGATTTGGATTTTCACTACCATTAATTACGGTGGTGTATATATAAGCTCTTAATCCTTTTCCATTGACATTCCACTTCATTTCTTTTCCATTTTAGGTACAGCGAAGATGACTCGTTCTCCACACTTCTACTGCAGCATCTGCCTAAGCTGTGGTCGGAGCTGCCCAGTTATGCACTCTATGGTGACGAATTCGTTCTTCTCTCCTCCTTCCTTTTCAAACGCCATCCAAAGTGGTCAGGTACTCCGCCTTTCTGTGAACGACTTATGAACCTTCTTCTCTCCCAACTCAACGCGATCGCAGAGCACCCGCTGCGCGATATCTATAAGGACGTTCTTGTACGTTCTGCCTGCCATCTCATTTCGACTATCATCATCACCTAACTTTTCTTTTTTTCTTTCTCTGGCAGAGAGGTCACAGTGTTTCCGGTATTGCAACCAGTGCCACGCGCCATGCAGATGATCCGCCACTCCCCGGACTACACTTGCCACCCAATTTCATTTCTACTGCTATACCCGCCTACATGCCAGGCATAATCGTCTCTAATCTAGTTGGTTGTCCCTTCGACTCTGAGCCTTGTTTGCTTTGCAATCACCCTGTACTATCCTCTCTCCCTTACGTCTATTTCCAATGGAACTCCTCCACACCCTCCAGAAGACGCGGAAACACATCGACTACCTCTTCCACTGGTGGTGGTGCCCAGGGTAGTACAAGTGGGGGCGCAGGAAGCGCTACAGCTTTTACTAGCGTCTATCCTATGCCCACTTACAGTTCAGAGAGTAGACTTACAAATACTTCCCACGTGGTGACTTATGCTCAGGCTGCTGCATCCGCAGCCGCTACCAGCACTCCGGTTGGCACCACCGCGCTTATTCAGCCCACATCCACTCCTACAGCCGTTCCTCCAGTAATTGATTTGGAACCACCGACGTGGGTATCTCCCAACGTACACATATTCTCCCTCCTCGACACTTGGGAGATCGCTAGCATTGGTGTGCGTTTCATGATTCCTGGTCCTGGTTTGCGCCACGTTCGCACCCTTAACATCTTTACCTCTGACGCTTTCGAGTGTCCACCCTCTCGTCTCATGCAAGCGCGGCATCTATGGCGCAGATTAGTTCAAGTTGACATTCCTCCCACTAAATACATTGTGATGGTTCATCTCGCCGCTGAGACGGACATTGTTTTACCCGTTACACAAGATCCTCCGCCTGATGCCTCCAGTACTGTGGAAGTTCGACTCTCTGAGGGTCTTCCACTCACTGCCAATAGTCTTATCTTTCACTACGCCGCATTTCACGGATCCGAGGAGGGTGAGGGAGGAGATGGAGACGCTGAGGGTGGGGGAGAGAAGCGTAATAGACGGCGGCACTGTTGTCGTTGCAATGCTACCATTCTCCAGGGCTCAACGTGCCAGAACTGCAAGCAGAATGGGAATCAGTGCTCTCGATGCTTATTCATCAATCTCAGTGATGAGGAAGTCTTCCTATGCACTAAGTGCGGGTCCTCCAATTATAACTTTATGAACTTTTTCATGCTGGCGCGACCCAATTTCTTCCATGTGAGTCGTTTGCGTGATGATGAGGATCGCCGAGTGGCACTCTCACAGATCGTAAGGCTGACAGAGGAGTTGAATACTCAACTGGCATCTTTGGGACTCACTCGAAAACACCTCTTCGAATCTGTTGCTGTGGATCGCCTCCCACCATTGCAAACTCCGGAAATCTTAGCACCTTTATTCTGGCCCAGGGATCATGTTCTCAAAAGCGTATATGAAGCAGAACGTGTGCAACAAGCAGCTTTTCCACTGGTCTGCCGACTATGGGCGTTGCGTCAGGCGGTTTCCATCTATGACGGTCGATGTGCTGCTAACTCGATGGAAGTCACTGGCTCCGACCCTCCCATTGCCATTGGCATTAACAGCAACGGCGGTGATGATCGATGTCTCCGCTGTGTAGAAGCTGCTATCTGTCTGATTATCAACATGGCTAGCACTTTCCCACCCTCTATCTTCTCTTTGGAGGCTCGAAAGGAGTGTATTAGTAAGGGTCTACCGCTGGCATACAGTCTTAGCCCTGTCACGCAAATGAGACTGGTCGGATTTTTGAATCACATTACTTCAAACTCAATAGCATTGGTGAGGTCTAGTTGGTCCTCTTCTGACCACAGGCTTGCAATTTTTCAGCCTCTGTGTGCTCTACGCTCTTTCTTTCCCTTTCTAGATTAACCATCTTGGCGATAACATAGTTGAGCCCCTATTGGCTATGTCAGGGAGCGAAAAAGTGATGTTCGACTTCGAACGTTCTACCTACTTCAATGTTTTATCATTGGAGAGGAGCGTTAAGTCCATTGTCTCAACAACACCTCCTTGTAAGATTGCGCTTTTGAAAAGTGATGGCTCTTGTTTATTTGCTCAGGGTTTCGAAGCCTTTACTTGAATAAGTTTAAGAAGGACTTGGAATCCTTATTCCTTCATCTGTAGGTGGTGTGGATACTGATTACTCTTGCCGGGAGGCGCGTTTGCGCACTATTTTCCGCCTTCTCCTTGACCTGACTCGGGTACATCAGGAAAGACTGAGAAATGGAGAGTTAGGATCGGTAGCGCCTCCCATTGCAGTAACGGAGTTTATCCTCGTTGTGTGTGTTCAATTCCTCAGTGACCTCTTTGTCCTCCCTGATACCTTAAAGAATTGGTGGTGGGAAAGGGAGGCCGCTAGCTTTCGCCTCCCTAGGGTCAATTTTGAGGCTTGGATGCGTGGAGATGCGGCTGCATCCTTCATGGTAAAAGGCCAGATTTTTTCCCACTTTCCAACCAGATATTTATTTGTATATTATCTAAGGCATTGCATCTGTTGCTCTGCTCTAGTTATCGCGCGTTATTTTGTTCATGTTTTTTTTAGATTTGGAGACAGCATTATCAATTGGCAGCTGAGATGGCAAAGATTGAAAAACGCGTGAGGAAACACATTGCTTCCACCGCCACTCGCGAACTCACTCTTAGCGCTCGCTTTGCCCTCCGCTGGCGACGCAAAACGGCGCAAACCAAACTTCCTCCCCTTCTTGGCCATCACGAGTCAGTCGTCAGTCCTGGTAGCTGGTTGACGCCCATCCTCTTTCATTCTTTCGCTTCGCGTCAATATATGTCACATCAGGATTCTGGTCTCAGTCTCTTGACCAAACTCTGCCTTGATACCTCAAACACCTCGTCAAACCGCTCGGCTGAATGCCTCTGTTATCTAGCTTCACAATGCGTGCCCCACCTTGATCACTTGGTACGCGCTAATCGGGGCTCGGGTCTGACTGACGAATCATTACGTGTCAATCCACTGGTGATGCTCATGTGGGATCTGACCTCAGGTAGCACTATGAAAGGGGCGGGTATGATGCAGCGGACTCAACGTAGCTGCTCTGCTTTCGCGCCACAGAACACTACTGCTACGGCTGCGACTACAACTGCACCGATAAATGGGGAGGGATCGATGACGCCCCTTCCTATGCGTCCGTTGTTACTGTATAAAGGAAAGCTATTACGTACGTTAATGGGCTTGACTTCTGGTTAAATATTATTTTAGTGCTTCTAGGAGCCTGTTTTTCCTTGCACACACAGACCATGTGGGGACGCTGCTAGAACGAACTCTGACTACTCTCTCCTCTATTGAGGGCGTGGGAGATGGTGACAGGCCGTCGCTACCGCCACTGCGCAATTGGACCGACTGCCTCCCTCCCCAACTTTCTCCAATCAGTGGGAGCAGTGCTGCACCCAGTGCCAATCCCGGCTATACTTTGATGCACATTGCGGACCTTTTGGCCATCCTCCAGCCTCTGGTTAGTCTTCACCTGTCATGTCTGGAATACGCTACAATATCTACATATAAATACATTAGGGACGTGGAAAGTATCTGGTCACTAGTGTCTGTCGTGATTTGCTATTCGTTTGAATGCTTCCACCCTCTAATCGGTAATTTCCTCGCTCGATTCACTTTATTATCGTTAACTTGTCTCTCATTTTCTCTTGGCCAGAACGGTCTGGCACTAGAACACCAAGATCGACTCTACTCCTACCTCCTCCACGCCATTGTCAGTCTGCAGTCTCTGATCTATCAGCGCACCGCCTACACTGTTAAGGCAGAACTTCTCTTTAAGGAGTTATTGCAACAGCTTATGCAGAACGCCTCGGCACGCGCTCCTGACCTCATTCGTGTGAGTGATTTACCCTCTTGCCTCCGGCACTGGCTTTTTTTCCTTTTCTCTCATCTCTTCGCTATTTTATCTGTTTTGTAGATCACCATGGACTACCTTGTCCAATGTCCCATGCAAACGGATGACCAAAACTCTGCCGTCTTCCTGCTGAAACACATTTGTGCCTGCGCTTGCCCCCTCCCTACGGATGTTGCACCCTTTCCAGTTCGAATCTCTGTGTGGCGAGATCAAGAAGAATATCTCTTCGTGAGGCGTGTGCGTGAGGTGGTTATGTGAGTCGGATACTTTCGTCATTTGTTGTAACACTCAGTCCGACCTTTGACTATCACTATCGTTAAATGTTCCATTAAGCTCGTACTTCCTGGGCTATCTATTAACTCTACTGGTTACTGCTTTTTGACAAATTAGTTTCCTTTAGGATTGGTTAATTTATTGTCAGACACTTATCCATCCATCGATGTTCGGCATTGGTCTCTTTCATGCTCATTCTCTGGGCTAAAATAATCCGCTATTCTTTCTGTCAAGGTCAAACACTCGCGGTTTTGGTCCCACAATCTCTGATGTGATCAATTACATCTGTGCGGAGAACAATCTGACCACAGACATGCGATTGGAAGTGGTCTGCGAGAATGCTATCCTCATGCCTCAGTTACTACTGGAGGATGTCTACAAGTACCTCTGGCTCCAAAATCCCAATAATGTAAGTCTTATTAGTTGTCGGACTATCTTGACTAGCGACTGCTGCTGATCAAAACGACCTGTTTTCTTAATTCACATTAGGCGAATAAGGCGATGGAGTTGATCTACAGAATTCCGGGACTGGAGGCAGATAATTTGCCTTACATCTCCCGCCTACCTCATCCTGCTATCCCCGAGGAGGAGTACTCCCGACTGGCCATACTTGCGGAGTATCCGCAGGGCCTAGCGGTCATTCTCAACCGTTTAGACGAAGTGAAAGACGCTTTGAAGTGTCGCGATCTTCTCCATGTCAGTGTCCATCTGCTGGAGTACTGTCTTAAGGTACCGCAATGTCAAGCCTGTCTCGTGGATCCGCAGTACCGGTGAGTGCTTTTCTCGTCTGTTCTCGCCTTTGATGGTTAAGTTATTTGTTTCGTTCGCATTTTCGAGAACGTTTTATGAGTACCTTTTAACACATATTCTTCTTTCCTCTTTAGCGCGATTCCCATCCTCATGGACGCCCTATATGCCTGTCTGCAGGTCATGCATCAATCAACGAGCGACTTTCACGACCAGGTGACCTCTCGCCTCGTGGGTGTGTTGACTACCCTCCTTCACAGTACAACTACCACATCCTCTGACGCCGACTCTCTTGGTTTGTCGCGCCTCCTGTCATGCCTCGCTCTCCATCCAGACCTTGAGGTAGTACAGTCCGGTGTAGCAAAGTTGCCGGGCCTTTTGGCATTCGGTGCGGAGCCTCGCATGACTGCCATTGTCGATTTTCTCCGCCAACATGTCGTTGAGCCGCTACTGACGTCACCTCAAGACTCAGAAGATAAACCAAGAACCACCACTAACACAAACCTGCTGCAGTGTTGTTGCGCCCTCATAACCGCCATTCCTTTCAATACTTTGCATGGTCGGCGTCTACGTGCTCGAGTGGTCAGTGATCTTGCTCTACTAGAGTTGTGTGTGACCTACCTGTGGAGAATTATTCCGTTGGAGGTGTTGGATCAGTCAGAAGAGAGCACTTTGGAGTAAGTGGATGTAGGGATTAACAATTTTTCCAACAACTTATGTGAAAAGCATTTATGTACGGTTCTTTCACTGAATATTTTTGGTTTTATTTTCACCTGTAGTACTTACGAATTGTGGTGGACTGATCTTACCTCAAGTTTAATCATTATCTGTCTGAAGCCCTTCAAGTTCTGCCGAAATCTTTTGGATTATTGGTAGCTCAACCCACCCTTACTTTCTCCCTTTCAGTACCAAGAATCCCGCTTTGTCCGTTTTCCTTTCCGACGACACTCTGCCCTTTGTGCTGCAACTGCTTCGCGGCTGTGTGTGGACAGTGTCCAACCCAGAGGAGGATCCTCCCCCTCCACCCTTTCCAGGTGCTCCTGAAGGTCACACTACGCGGCAACTGCTAGCCTTTCTGCACAAATTGGAGGACTCTAAATCTGTTGGCCGTGTGGGTCTGTTGAGCGAAGATCTACTCAATGAGTGGGTTGCTGCTGGTGGTAGTGAAGATAGTCTCATCCCCGCCTCCACTGCCGATCTCACCACAACTTCGGAGGTGGTGGCCACAGTACGGGAATTGCGAACCCTTTCAGAACAGCGTCATCGACGCAATGCGAGGGAATGTAGAGAGAAGTATCTCCTCTCGCTTAACATGAAGGTCAATGAGAAGGGACAGGTTAGTGGTATCACACTCATCTCGATTTCAATTCGCTATCACATGGCACTAAACCAATGACCTTTTCTTCCACCATACAGGTGGCCATGACAACAGCGAGCAAATTGGCGGAAATGGCAGCCCAAGTATTGGAGGAGACGGGTCTTCAATGCGCCATCTGTCACGAGGGTCCACGTTCATCGCCGCGCGAAGAGTTGGCCATCTACGTCTTCATTCGACGTTGCAAACTAGAGGAGTCACTGGTAGATGTTGGCTCTACATCTACGGCCTCCGTGATTTCCACTCAGGTAGTATCGTCATCTGCCGATAACAACTCCGACTCGGAAGGATACACAACTGTTTCCAGTTTCGTAGTGGTTCACTTCGAGTGCCACTCAAAGGCGGTACAGGCGTCAAATCAGAATGAGTGGAGTGTGGCTACCCGGCACAATCGAGATGCCCGGTGCAATTGCTTTCTGCCCGTCCTCATGAACGAGGTTGGGCCCGATGTCGCCATATCGGATGACAAGAAAGACGAAAAAGCGGAGACAGGGCGAGGTGGAGGAGAGGAGGGTAGCAATGAGAGCATGGATGATCTCTACGCTAGACGAGTTTCCACCTACGCAACCTGTGTAAATGTGCGTCCCTGAATGTTGGCAAATGGGCGAGGGAAAGCTCTGTTTGTCTATCAATCAATTGTGTTTTGTGCCTTTTACAGATGCTGGTCTCCCTCCCTGTCTCAACGCAGCTGGTCGTGCACGACATCAAGTTGTTGCTGCTGCGTTTCGCACACCAACGCTCCTTCCACGGCGAGACGGGAGGTGGGGCAGCGGAAAGTAACCTTAACCTCATTCCCCACCTTATGCAGGCAAGTCATCTGCTTTCAATCCCTTTTCCTTTGCCTCCTTGGAGAGTTTTATCACTGCTCTATTTCTCTCACTTCGTACAGTTGGCCTTCTTCCAGATGAAGAAAGAACAGTCGATGGAGGCACAGGAATCCATCTTAATGGGAGTGCTAGAAAAACCTGAATCCCAGTAAGTACTGCTTTTGACTAGGTGGTTCGAAACCCCCGACCATGTTCCTGAAATAAATGCATTTCCAAAGGTCCCTCATCATACCAGTTTCTAGTTACTACAAGGGTATTAAATGTTTCGATTCTCTCCTTTGTCCCAGTTGGAGCAGTGCGTGCTGGGAGCTGACCGGTCCACTGTACAGCGCAGTGGTTGCACTCCACTTGCTGCCACGGGAGAAGTGGAATCAGCACCGGGTCTCTCTGCTACGTCACCTTATGGCTCTTGCGCACGCTCGAGCAGCTGACGGAACTGGTTTCGCAGAACACCCTGCCTTTACCGTCTACAAGCCCTACCTCCTTTTCTTTGGCCTCATTCAGGCCTTCTACGAATACTTCTTCAAGGTGCTTGTTCGCTTTGTCATTCATCTGTCTTGACACGAACGTTAGGTATAACTCGTTCCCCACTTCAGAGCGTCAAGGCGCCAGTCCAACAGAGGTCATGCGGTCGTTGGTGGCCGGATGCTGTGTCGAAGTACATTCGTAGTTCGGACGAGCAGCTACTTGCAGCAACACCCGAATTGCTGAGTTTCTTTGAAAATGATCTCTCGCCTATCGAGTCGGTGGATGAGTTCCTTGATGTAGTGGGTGGGTTGCTCTATTTTCTCTTATACTCTCTCATCTCTCCCGCGGCCTGCCTTACTGTGGGCTGTACTTTTCTTGTAATCGCTGTAGGAATGTTTGGCGAGATTGACGCCCAGGAGCTGATCCAACTGGCCACCACGGGATCTCGGTAGAAACTCTGAGTTTGTTTCTGCTCACTTTTTTGATGATGGTGATCATAAGGATGATGGTGGCTATCTACTTTTCCCTTAATGCACACGTACTCCCCTACCGATCCCCAAAAAATGTGCTACCTGTTATCTCTATTCTGCGTTTTCATGAGTCTAGTTTATTACATACATACACTGTGGACCGTGTTCTGTCCTTCCCTTTTAATTTCGGGAATTCACTGCTCCATTTGGTCGAATAGTTTATGCAATTTGTTGGAAGGCCATAGGCATTGCATTTTCAACGATGACACCTTAGAAGGCAGCGTTTAATCGGCAAGTTTCATCGGTCTTACGCTTACTTAATGCGAGGCATAGGTTGTCCGACACACTGAAGATTTTTTTGTCAGTCACGAGTTTAACTTATGGATACTGATAAGATGGTGTTAACTTCGTCGACAATAAGGTTTATCCAATCGCTTAGTTGTTCCAATCGGAGTCATTTCCATTGTGTCGATGACACCATCTCTGGTTCTACCTATTCTTGATTAGAAGCCGTCAGGAATGAGAAGGGCCACGGAGCCATCTTGGGTGTTCACAGAACTGTCTGGTAATCTGAGACAATGGGAGATGTCAGGTAAACTGAGGGCAGCCAGTATTCACTTCCAGGAGTCCTATGAGGGGCTATGCCAACGCCCATGGGTCACGCCCCATCCTGAGATACATTGCCTCTGATTTGAGGAGAGCCTCCGAACCATCAAATTATCTTTTACTGGCTCGCTAATGAGTTACTACGATGGCTAACAAAACCAGCTTAGTCGCGTTGATGGTTGCTCATCACCGCAGTCTAACCTTGAATCTTCCACTTGCAAACTGCTGAAACTAATTTAGAAGAAAGGAGCCTTTAACCTATGCGAAAAAATGAGCCGTCAAACTCGTTACAACCACAACTTCGACCGTTGTCTTGCAGTCTTGACCAAAAACACCCTTGTGATCAGCACAAAGGGAGGCCCAGCGAATGGCCAGCCTCACAACGAATTCAAAGGTCCGTGGAGAGAGAAGGGGAAATCAGTGTACACTTCCGTGGGGACTTTTCGAATTAAGATTCAGATTCAGCTTCAAAGTCATATATTCACAAAAATCATTCCACATGTTTACAACTTTCAGTAGAAGAGCGAAGTGCCTCAGGCAGTGCCTCTACACGATGCTAAAACGGGAAAAGAGAAAGTGAAATTGTAGTAAGATGTTTTAAGCTTTGAAGTAAAAGGAATCTAAGTTACTTGGTTAACAGTCATGTGAACACCAGCAGGGAGGTTCCGTTGGATGTACTCAAGGAAGACATTGGCTGTAGATCCCGTCAAATGAGGGATCTATGGAAACAAAAAAAGGAAGCAAATAAACAATAAGAGTGACTCAGTAATTCCACCAAGATTAGAAGTTACTACAAACCGTGAAAGTTTTAACATATGTTCGGAACTCATATTGTCGTTGGTGTTTCTTGTGAATGAAGGGAGATTTGTTCAAGGAAAGACGGTCGAATATTGGCGAGTTGCGTGTTACTCTATTGCAAATGAGGAAAAATGCCGAATATGACACAATCCGCGCATTACATAAACAATTGCCAGGGACATAATTAACGATAAAGAACAATGATAAAGGAGGATCAAACGCAATGGAGTCACCGGTCAATATACTTAATCAACAAGGGCTTAAGCAATGCACGACGAAGTTATGGGAAATCATATGAGGTACGTTAGATCCAACGATGAAGGCGAGATTACTGCAAAACCAAGGACAAAACAAATAAACATGCCATTTGCACTCATAAACTAGCTCTCTCACACTTTGCACTGAAGATCGAAATGGCCGCAAACTGTACGAACAAATGAATCGTAGCTCTCTAGCACCGCAGGTTCATGACCTTTGACTTCAAGTTCCAGTTTTTTGACAAGAATATCAGGCTCATCGACTTCCTCACCCTGAGACTGTTATTATAACTAACATACATTACATCAACCGGTTCCCGAACCGCAGATAGTTGTGCAAACTTGAAGTATGGAAGCACTGCGGGACGCAGAGCAAACAGTCGAGGGACATCAAAAACACGACGAATCGAGTACATGAATGACCTTTTGGGCCAAAAGGGCTTCGACAGATTAATTAGACTGAACAAGATTTTTAGTAAAATTGGTGTAATTGATCCTTTGTATATTAAAACTGGTCAGTAGTTTCATTTATGTGTACTATTGTTGTGATATCTTTGACTGTTATAACATTAAAGAAGAGAATTTAGTTTTTAATTTATCTGCGGACTTCGCTTGAATGAAATCTCGCTAGGATCAAAATAACGCCCTAACTTTTCGTTGATTCCGTCCTTTATTGATGCTTTATGTTTGCGCTTGACATGCCTTGCATGATTAAATCTCGCCAACTTAGCCTGCGCATAGCTTATAAATCCTCAAGCCCGCTCGTCATATGGAGCATACGGGTTTGCCGACTACTACCATAACATGCCGCTTTTAGTCAGAGCAGAGCCGTCAGATGAAGTTCAGGTTCCAGGTCCATCAACTTCTTCCTCTCTTGATTGTTTTGAAGCTCTCCAAAGTCAACAAGAGGAAATAGAAAAGGCGGTGAGTTGTTTAGTCTCAGTCTAGTCACTTTGGCAAACTTCATAGATCAAAGAAAGCGGACCCCTGGTTAGCGAACCTTTACCCTTGTCTACGCTGTCAGAAGACTTTAATGGACATAGTGTGTACCTTGAGAAGTTGGAGGTGGGTGTGTAACAGCTGAACATTTAGCGTGTCCTTTTGTAATATGATTTCAGCTGCTTTCTTTTTAACTAGCTTCTAAAAAAGCGATATAATAGAATACGCCGGTTGCGTCGCGATGGGAATTGCTTCTATCGTGCATTTGGTTTCGCCTATATGGAGTATCTGATGCAGGGCAAGAGGAAAGAGGAAGCCAAAAAGTGGGATTGCTATCCCCATCTACCTTTGTCAATTTAGATTTATTCGTTTCTGTGATGAATGTAAGGAGTTTCTTATTTCCGTTGGCTACACTGAATTTACGGTAGAGGATTTTCATGAACAGGTGGGCTCTTCTTTACTCATATTCTCACCCCGATCCAGTTCACTGGAATGGTTGAGAAGCTGGTGCTTCAAGACAGTCCGCTGTCGGAGTTGGAGGATCTATTCAACAACCAATCCTACTCCGATTACTACGTTGTCTTTCTTAGGTTAGTCTTTCCCACTATGCAAATCATCGTGTCTATCTTAGACTCTCCGTATCTAGCTACATGCAGCGCAATGAATCATTCTATTCCAACTTCATCCCAGATAATAAAACGGTTCGCAGGTTCTGTGAAACGGTATGTTTTCATCCTTATTTTAGTACATTTATCTTTGTCACTCCATCCCTATTCCTATCCATTCGCTCATCCCTTAATTCCTTTGCTTTTCTACGCGCATTTTGACTCAGTTTATTCACTTATCCCTTCATCGTTCCATTTGCTTTCCAGTCTGTCATTCATCCCACAAATCCTCCCTCTTGGTTGCTCATCTCTACGCGTTTTCCTTTTTGGCTTTTGCATTTCTCTCGCTAAGCGACACTCGATCATTCGTCTGTTCGTTCACTAATTATCTATTCACTTGTCAGCATCATCTCATCACTTTCCTTCCTCAAATCTTCCGAGATCATTCACTTAATAGACCGCTGCTTCATCTTCCTATGCCGATGTACCTTTTCCTTATCTACACTTTCCTGCATTAAGTCATTCATCTCCTATGCCATTCTGCGCTCACTTTTTCCAGGAGGTCGAGCCAATGGGCTTAGAATGCGACAATGTCCATGTAGCTGCACTGGCTCTGGCCATGGATGTACCAATTAAGATTGAAAACTGCCAACAGTCCGGTGAATTAAATAACCTTGAATTCCCTGGTCGGGAGAATGCGAGTGCGGGTGAACGCGTTGCCGCGCCAGTTGTGCTGCTCTATCGACCTGGACACTATGATATTTTGTATGCTTAAGAGAACGGTATCAATCACACGGGTCTTTACTGCAAAGTTTTCCGCTTTTCCACTTCAACTCTTTCTCAAAATGTACCCACGTGAGTGCTTGCGTTCGCTCTTGTTTTTTCTCTTTTGTAGTCGTGTTTTTTCCCCCTCGGCCCTAATCTCTCCCCTCTCCTCGCCCACTGGGGTGACTTGGTCTTTGTCTCGGTCATATTTTTTTTAAATGGATTAGCTGGAAGTTAATCTTGCGGTTGGTATGGTTTAACATTACCTCCGTAGTTTAAACCCTTTAAGGTTTCTCATCAGCTACTTGAAAGAGGATTGGTTAAGGGAGGAAGCCCTTTGCTACTAAATTTCGTGTGGCATGGATGTCGTCCAGGCTAATTTCCATCCCAGTTATTACAGTCAGCAAAACTGTTTCACGGTTGTATAATATTGCTCATTTTGCTCAAGTTAGCGAAATTCACACGACTCGAATGACTACCACTTAGTATGGTTTGCTTATTCCCCGATCGTTGATCAATTAGAGGGTTAACGCTGATCCTCAACGCCACATGGTTTAAATATGACATATTTTCGTGCCATCGGAATCGTTTTTTGCTTTTTTCAGGGCATGGTCTGTCATGCACGGTTGGGTGAATTTATTGCCAGTGGACAGAAAGATATGGCGAGTGGATTTGCTAGGGGATTTTCGGGTTGGAACACGAGAGACGGGAATTTTTGCTTAAGACGAACTATAACCTCCCTCTGTTGAGCTATAAAAGGGTTTGCCTTTTGGCTCTCACACTCACTATCTAACAGAGTAGGTTCTACAAAACTTAGAGATTGTTGGTGGGGCGTAGCCGTAGCTATCATTTGCCCTCCACTAGTCTCCCACTTGGCTCACTTCGAAAGTTTGATATCTTAACCACACACGCGAAACTGACATCTCTAAACGCCTTTTGGACTAACCTTGTAGGGATTGTTTTGTGCCCGTCAAAGTCATTTGGGTTCAATGTTTGACACGGAGTTGTGAGGGCTTGCTCAAACTGGGCAGAGGAAGTAAGCAACTTCCACGTCAATGTTCGAAGCTGCCAGACTTCGGGCATTGCAGACTTTACGTTCTTCTGGGAGGCATTTTGGTCCTCCATTGTGTGCGAGCCCTTCGAAGTCGGCTGCTGCAGAAGCAGAGATTGATAACTCACGAGTGATGCTGGGAGTGTCCAATTCTCAACTATTTTTGAGGCCAATTTCCAAACACCTGGTATTTAACAACTACAAAATGATTGATTCACCTCTTGTTTCGTATGATCGGGAAGACGCAATTCGATGCTCTCTCACTTGTTCATATGTGAACGCCTACAAATCACCCAACTCAGTATCTCTCGTTATCGTCAACTAGGCTCCGCTTCCTACTTTTAACCCCTGCCTCGAATCCATCACCTGTTACCTGATTGAATGTGGGACAGGCGAGTGGACTTTAAGGCTGGAGTAGCGGGTCCCTGCTAGTCTGGGGAAGGTGTAACCTGCAATAGCTGCTAGAGCATGTACCAAGGCCAAGTGCTTGAAGGATTCGACTCCCGTGCTGCATTACCGAATGGCGGCGCATCATAGGCAAGAGAATTCACCATTACTGAGAGGTGAGAAGTGCTAGTCGCTAGTACCGAGGATAGGCGTTGAGGTCTCAAATTTCGAGTGGAAGATTCAGCATCATGTGACACGGGTGGTGTGATGCCTGAACAATTCAACAACATTGATCGTGGTGGGCCTTGGGCTCTCTTCCACTCGCCCTTCACCCTGTGAAATTCATCTTTTACACTCCTGAAAGAGCAAAAGCACTTTGACCATCAATGAGAATTGTTTCCTCGTTTAAACTTGCCCGTGCCAGCAATAAGCCATAACAACTGAAAACTGGGTAAAAACGTTGCATTTCAACTAAATCTTTTGTTACGTCAAAGTGGGTCACACTTTAGTCCCGGATTTGGAACAGTTTGCCTCTCCTTCTTTTAAGCCTTCGTTGCGCGTCTTTGTGCAGTGGACACTGTGGTTCCGTGGCAGATTAATTGATGGCACCTCGATTGTTCTCTGCCGGCCACTGATGGTAGCGCGCAATTGGCCTAGCCATCGCCTCCTTGAAATCTAGTTCAGGCTTTTCTTGCCACTTTGTCAGACTACATTCATACGTCTAAATTGGCTTTGTTGTAGTCGTGGATTCCTTGAAAATGGTTGGTTTTTAAGCGTAACACCGTAGATGCATGACTCCGAAAGAAGGTTTTACCTTCCTTGGTTATAAGAACCACAAATCACAGCATCATTTACCGCAAAAAACTGTACAAGGCACACAAACACACGCTAATAGAAAGGGGAATGGTATAGATAGCGATTTTGAGGCTAAAGTCACCCAGAACGGCGTTTCCGTTCCACTAATTGGATCCTCAACGCCGCCGCAGAGATGTTATCACCACCACCAACGGTGCGTGTTACTCGGCGGCAAACGGGTACCGGAGCAATACAGATCTCTACTCGCGTTGATGGGTCGCCTCCAGGAGGTCTGCTGCCTTCACCCTCCACTGATGCTGTGGGCTCCGCCTCAAACCAGCAAGAGACGGGATCAGAGGAATCAAATCGAATCCGTGGTACAACACCGTCACGCAATGTCGAGGGCCACCTGACTGGGTCTGCCGTCACTGCGAAACTGTCGTCCATCAGTAGGCGAGTCAACTCAGGATCAATTGAGGCTGTAGCGCAGGTGTGACGGTGTGCGATCAGACTGGCCTGTAACAGGGAAGGAAGCAGAATAGATTCGCTAATAAGCGAGAAATTTTAATTTCGTAAATTTTATCTTAATTCAGTGAATTAGGCACCCATACACCTAGGGAGCCACCTTTCTTCAAAGACTATTTGCCAACCTTTGCCGCAGCAGCCCTAGCAAAGGGCCACGCAAAACCTAGTTCTATGGCTCTTTGGTTGAATTCAAAGTCCCTGTTCGTGGCGGTGGTGTCAATATTCTTGGGGGCAGCAGGCCGTCGCACCATGACAATCTGGTAACCCAGAGTGTGTAGGTGAAGCCGAGAGAGTCGACGCAAACCCACTCCCACTCGAGGTAGGCGAGTGGAAGGGGCAAGTATGCTCCAGATTTCTCGCATCTCATCCAACATCACTGCAACACGAGGTGTTGACGCGCTTGCTTGAGAGACCACTCGACCCTCTGAGAGGAGGCTGCGAAGATTTGGCAGCTCCTGCTCATTCAGACCTGGGGGAAAGATGTACAACTGATTGGATGGTGGTATGCATAACCGTAGCCATGAGTCATCAGATTCGACAGCATTTGACAAACTAGATCTACTGTGAAACGAATTTCGAAGATAGACCAGTATTAATGACTTCCGCGTTGGTTGTGACTTTGTCATTGCGAACCAATAGATTTGCTACCTTATCAGTGACATACTACTTAATTATTTCATTAGTAGCTTGTGACGGAGGCATTTTGTGGCGTTTTAACGGATTGAATGGACACAATTGCAGGAATGTTCCTGCGATATACTTATGATTTTGCCTCCACCAAAGTCAAGTACGCCTTCCGGGTCTTGCGTAACTGCTGTTTTAAAGAAAAATTGAGTCTTTAGAAGTCAAGGAAATAATTCATCTCAGCTATTGTGGTAGATACCCCTCTCCTGCCTCTGAATTAGCTTGGGTAGCAAATAAGACTCGACTCCCAAAGTGCGTGAGCTACGCAAAGCAATATAAATATTCACATTTCCAGGAACCACCAGGATCAACTGCACCAGGGTGCTCCGGAACTGTGCAACGTGTACACTCACTCAATGCCAGCTTGGCAGATAAATGTTTTTAACTCCTGAACACTGACATTATGTGCTACGGACCAAGATTAGTGTTAGCAGTTTGCGCTCAAACTAATTATCTATTCGTTTTTGTTTTAAGCTCAGTTTTCGGCACTGTAATTGGTCAATAACAAACTGCTCCCAATACTTGTGTATACTACTCATTTTAGTGAGTAACGACGTCTACCGCTAATTTTTTGGAAGTGCACGATTACTCGACTCTTCTCAATGCACTACATCAATAAAATGCGGTTTCAGAAGGAGGTTCAGATGTTACAGGTTAGACATTTAGCAAGAATGTCTCGAAAAGGAGGTATCCACAGGCAATATTGCAACTTATGCAGAGTGGCAATGAGGGGAACGGGAAATATTAGTTTCAAGTAGTCGCTATGATTAGTCATTAGTCATTCTCAAAAGGGTCGACAAAGTTCGGGAATGTTAATCCATAACTCACCAATCGAGTCCACGTAAGGAAGAAGAGTGCGAGTTAAATTGGCCGCAAAATTGGTATCCACGAAGGAGGCCATCTCAAAGTGGATCAACGTAGAACGAGGTGTCTCCACGGCCAGAAAGTGTTTCAATGCCTCCATTCTCTCCCCACGGATATCTACAAAGTGACGTTGACAATGGAAGTTTTAGTAAAAATGCTTGCTTGTTTAACTATCATCACTCTTTCAATTTAAGAGGACGAAGAGAAATTTACCAGACAATCGATGGCAAAAATGTGGTCACCGGTCCCTTCTAAAATCCTTTCAGGGTTCTGACTTTTGAATTTGTCAGGGGTTCAGCAAAATGATTTCTTTCTCAGGAGCATTCAGTTAAAAGAAATTGTGAAAACTCATGGCGATCTGCATATGCCGTTATACCATGCCAATGTATTTTCGAGGATAAAAGATATTACAATGAATAAGGAGGAAACATTAAACGCCCTTTAGTTTAAAAGCATCTACCGCCTCCAATTAGGAATGACTTGGGAACAAATGAGATAAAAAGACTAGCACAGCTACTTAATTAACATTTCAGTAGACCGGAGTGAGAGCGTCTTACCAGGCGCGATAACAGCATTATCCATGGTCTGCAGGCCACCCACTACGAGAAGGTCAGGAAAGATTGACTCATCCCTTCCCGATCCGCCTCCATGGTTGCCCCACTTGCGCCAGGACGACATGAGGCCAGGCCACAGGCTGCTCAGCCGCGGGTTCTCCTCATCCCGAATCAAAATGTACCTTCATGGGAGAGTCAAGTCGAGTTTAACATGGGCAAACATGATTCTAAGGTAGAAATTCGCCTCCATAGCATATAGCTTCATGTTTTGAATTCTATCTGTTTTGTCTGGCTTAGGTCAGGACACACCATCATGTAGCCCTGACAGCACTCAACGTGTTAGAATGTCGAGTTCATAGCCCTCCCCGCATCAGTACAATTAGCATGTAATGTGGAGGGTGGCAAACTTTGCCAACTCAAACCACAAGGCAGTGGTAGGCACATGACACCATATTTAACTCAGCTCTTCAGCTACCATGGTGCTGATAAAGTCAACGAAGGTCGCAAGATCAAATAATCCTCCAATTTTAAAGCCAAGCGTCGTGGGTGTGTAGTGTTGCAGCACACACACACACACAAACATAACCAACAGCGGCAGTTGGCATCAATAAGTAAACCGTTTGACAAGACGGATGTGGCTAAGTAATGAGCTGTGGATGAAGTGAAAACTTCACCGCCATGAAGGAATTAGACATAGATGCAGCAGCAATCCTCATCCAAAGAAAATGTCACGATCCTTAACTCTACGACCTTATGACCCAAACGATTGTTTAGTGGGCTGTTACACGTTGGGATAACACATCAGCTATCAACCTTGACATTTTGTATTGTGAGAACGACCGACAATCGACAACTCCATCACATGAAAATTTCGACATACCATTCAAATTCGGCACTATACAAAGAAAAAACAAAAGACGCAAACGCGTTGACAAGATGATACGACGTCCTCAGCACTGTTAGAATTCATAGAGAAGCACTTACTTTCACCGCGTGCAGTGTGCGTGTCGGGTTGTGAGCGCGACATTACATTATCGCCACAAGCAAGATTCGGTTCACAAAGGAGTCAATCAGCTTGATTAACTTTAATGACTCGAGAATTTTCGCAAACACACACACTATGGTTTGCGTTACCACGGTGATGATGACAGAAAGTTGAATTTTAAGTATTATGAGCACAGCCTAGTAATGTCACAGGATTTGAGCTTCGCAGGATGACCTGATGAGTGCTAGTTGTTACACATTGCGGAGGGAGAGGATTCTCAATCTCATTTTAGTCCTGCAAGTAAGTTGGGAAAGAGCATGGACCAAGCGGCCTCGAAAGTAAATTGGTCAGTCTGATGTCCACCTCGTCCCTTTAACTGATTGGTTGGAAGTTGAAGGTCTCGCTCAGATCCGTTCGGTATATGAAAAGCAGGAGCCGTCTAATTATTCAAATTTACTACCTGTGCCATCCACTTTTGGGTAAACTATATGATGACCTTCTCGGACTCATTAAAACTGGCCTAAAAATGAACATACACATTGTATTGACCGCTGAAAAGACCTCGAAAACGGATTCGAAAGTTAGAAATGAAGTGAAACACAGCATTCAATCCTTTTTGTTGGAACAAATCATTTTCAATAGGCCAAGGGTATAAATACAGCCAATTCGTCTTCCATAAACTTGTCATGGTACCAGAAGAACGGTAACAGATTTCTGCCAAACGTTAAATATGCTTGAAAAACGTACAGATGTAACTGATTCACTTTTCTCCAATCTCTGTATTTTATAAAATGCCATGGAAAGCAAAATGATACACTCATCAGCAGATGCAAATGTAGTGCTGATAAAAAAATAAACAGCTGCCGTGCGTCTAACACTGCAAAGGTAACAACTCTTGCCACACAAGCAATCACTGCGAAGCCCTTTAGCTCATCGCGGAAACGGACGTGGATAGAATAAGTCCTCTGCTTGGAAGAAGCAGTCATAAAAGAGACCTAATCGTCGACCTCAATTGGCCCAACCAACTCAAAGACCCAAACAAGGGGACAGAGTTTAGACTTGCAGGGTAAATTCAAATTAGCAGAGGAAAAATAACAAATCACCAGGATATTACTTAGTGGTGCAAAGCCAGGGGCAATAACACCAGCAACTAGTATCCACAAAAAAGCATTTGTGATCAAAAAGTACTCGGGCTGTGAACTTTTGCCATCAAAACGTTGTGATGGTGTTTGATTTTTTACCAGAAAACCAGATATAACTAAGAGGAAAATGCAATATTCTTTTCGTAAATGCGATTTAAAAAATAAGGTAGCAGGAGTTACCTGACTGGCTATGAAGTCGGATAGCTTTCACACCTCACCAATCAGTACACATAGGAATAAGTATGTGGATCGTCTAGGCTCTCACAAGGAACAAAGCACTTTTGGTAAAAATTAGAAAACAGCACCTAACCGATTAGCTCGCGGAGCAGTGATGTTGAACCAAACCGCGTCCTTGTCGTACTCCAGCACAAGGTGTACATCCGTTTTCGGAGTTTCTGGCAAGTCAAAGTTAGGCGGCGCCGTCAAGACTAAAGGAAAAGCATCCAAAGTCACGCAATCTAACGAAAAGAAAGGGACATTCATCTTTACTTTCCCACCTCTAACTGACGAAGGCAGAGCTTGGGTTTCACGAGACGACAAGCGAGCTACAAGAGTAACCTCTGCCCCTTCCCTTGCCAATCTTGTGGCCATAACAGGAGCGTTGCCACCCAGGCTCAAGGTGCCGCGCTCAGCGGTCTCTCGTAGACGATTAGGATTTGTCACGGTAGCAATAGCTTTTGTGACCATAAATTCGAACAATGATTGATTTCTTACGTATCGTCTAGGAAAGCAAAACCACAACTCAATAAGCTTAGTGACTTACTCTGCTGCTGCACCAGCAGCGAACATTTGAGAGAAATCATTAATAACATCCTCCAGAGTGTTCAATTCAAACGATGCGCCCTGAGAACGTTGCGAGTGTTTTACGGTGTAGGATGCTGCACCAAGGGACTCAAAGAAGGTAAGAGCATTGACAGTGGCGTCCATACAACCCCCAAATCCGACCATTACAAGAGGACCTGGTTGCGGCTGTGGGAAAGGCCGGTAGGAGGCCTCTAGCCGATACAGACCACTGAGCACAGCCTCAATGTTGAAATTGGGAGGATGATATAGCCAAAATTGCACGCATAGTGCGGCTATTACAAATGCGACGCCAAGAATGTAGTAGCTGTTACTATGCCTTGATGCCATCAGCCAACACCAAAATTGACGTCCCAGCTAATCTTTAAAAATGTGCGTAACATGCCAAAAAGTGTTCTCGGTGCTGATTGGCTTCTTTAAAGGTGTACCTGGCTTCAAGGCTTCTGGATAATTACGACTACTACTACTTCGACAAAATGGAGTTGAGTACAGCAGCCATTCACAATGTAACGCTTATAATTGTTTAGAATAACGCTTTTGGTTTAACAAAAGTGAAAACAATAAGTTATGCCAATTTAAGTGCATGAATTTGAATGGTTTTAAAAGCAAGTTTTCCATACAGAGGGCTCATTACTGCCTAAATTTAAAGCCATCGGTTGCAACCAACTTTGTTTTGAATTATAAGCGTATGTGCGTATTACCCCAAAGCCTAAATCGCCTCATGTAAGTGCTTGTAATTAGATGGGATTCCTTTCTTGCATTGATCCTGAATCACTAAGTTTATGTTCTGAATTTGGCTTGATCACTGATAAGACCATCATAGTATTCTACGAACTGTCAAGTCTTAGTGATCGTACTTCTTGTGTCTGGTTAATTAGCTGAGTGATTCTGCATTCACATTGTATTATCCTTCTTCAGCTAAGGGAAACTGTCTCACCTCGTTTTACTCGAGAGTTTATTGCTTAAATGAACCTTGTGAATCAGAGGCAGGACATAAAGCCGGACGCTGGATTGGGAAGAATACCTTCGCTACTTGTGTCCCACTACCTCATTCCTGCTCACAATCTGTCTCGATGTCACTTAAAACTTTCCTGAGCAAACTTCCTTCTAAGTAAGCACGTAGGGAGGGCTCAGAATGAGGCTACACACCTAACAAGCCTAAATGAAAATAATTCTGCTCCTAACAATGACATTACCTTGGGAAAAGAAAACGTCAGTTGGACATTTTACTTCCCTTTGACAATTCATAGAATTGTACAATCCACTAACAATTTATGTATTCTTACACAAATGAAACAATGTAGAAACATTAAAGATAACGAGAACGATGAACTGCTAGTTTTTCAGGTCATTACTATGCATGACTCCATCGCGTAGACTTCACATGGCAGGTGTCTGTGTATTCTTCGCCAAAACCATCTCCTGATAGTGTTTGCCACAGTAGAGTTGCTGATCAGCTTGCTTATAGCTATTAAGACTAAAAGAAACAAGTTTACAAGGACTTGATCATTAAAATGTAATAATGCATGACGATAAATAAGCGGGTAAGTTAAGACGATATCCTCACTTAAGGACTACATCACACTGGCCGCAGCGGAAGCAGCCCTTGTGCCAGATCTGACCGCCAGCCTCAACTCGCTCCACAGCGTACACCGTCTTACCGCAACGAACGCACTTCTCAAGCTTTGGCTGTTAAAACAGACAAATGCGAAATCGGAGTGAGCTGGAAAAGGGAAAACTGAATAACGCTCCCACCGTGAAAGTTCTAAAAACACGCATTTTGGCATGAAGTACAGCTTCCATTGACCCTTAAAGGGCAATAACAACACGTTATGAGTGATGCAAAGTGGGTCTAAACCAAATATAATCTAATCAAACTCACGTGAGTTTTCGAAACGGTTGGAGGAAACGGAATTTAAGCCAGCTACCAATCTGCTAAGCAAGACTAATTTTAGCGCCCTAGATTACAGAGGGAGCTAAGAGCCTCGAGAAAGGGATATAATGACACCTTTCTACCAGGACCAATTAGTTATGCGCACTGTGTGTGGTCGGTTTTGCAACCGTTTTACGGTCTTCAGTTAGGTATGGTGGGACAGGTAGTGCAATGAACATTTGCCCATTCTTCGCTCTGCGTTGAGGATGAAGACTCCAAAATAAGAGGAATGAATTAAGCTGCTGTTAGAGAAAGTTGCAAGGGTGATGGCTAAGAGTAAACCTGAAGTCATTTTTGAAATGTTTTACTTCTACCTTAATGTAATGTTAGTAGAATGATCACAGGAGCTTCACTTCTGTGCGCCGATAACACCATTTCAGGAGGGGTGACTCGTCTCCACTTTTAAGCTGCTTACCTTTTTAAACCACTAGTTGGAAAGTTTCTGCACCATAATTACAAGTTAAGTTGAAGGAGAAAAACATCAATGCGAGGATTCTTTGCCCTGCTCTCCTAGAATGTAGTTTTGGGATGACATGGCTTATGAGATGGACTTCCGAAAACGGTGACCTTGACATAGGGAGGTGTAAGTGGAATGAGTCACCCAGTAGATGCAAGAGGGAGGGCGGTGACCCGAAAACTACGCAAAATGTATGGTTGTATTTACGACCAAATTGGGTGGTGAGTCACCAACAGCCCAGTCGACCCACTGCAGTGTCGCAGCTGTCACAGGACTGGAACGAAAACTACTAACTTTGTTTAAAGACTGAACAAATCATCATCAGTCAAAGCACTGTCATTTTGGGTCGAGAAACTGAATTTTTAGCGAGGAATAGACTTTAACGGCAATAAAGTGTGACTAGCGTTAAACTCATTTTACCTACAAAATGACATTTTTGTATTGAGGCACGATAGTGAGCTGAGACCATCATCACTTGAAAAGTCGGCTGTCCATCGAGAGTATTTTGTGAAAAATAGGTGAAAAGCATAGAAGAGAACCAACTTACGGGCTGGAACGGCATGTTGATGTTGACAGAAACTCCTATGTGTGGAAATGCGCCTTGGGCGTCTGTGCAGGCAGTCTGTCACTGCAACTTCACTTTCGTCTCTGATTGGTTCGCTGGCATTGGCCAATGGGAAGGCAGTTGTACCAACTTGCACACGTTCACTTTCCACGAGGCGGGCGTCGGTCTCTTCCTCGTTATCGTGACGATTCAAGCGCGAAAACAATGATTAGACGTAAAATGCCTTGCACGTGACATTAAGCAGATGCGTAGGCGGGTTGGTGATAGTACTTGAACTTTGTCATGGTAGTGCTGGCAGTGGCCTTCAGATATTCGCCAATGCTAGTGGTGAGTCCACAAGCAATTAGAAAGTTGATTCTTAATGTACGAAGTAAACTGCATCATACAAATCCGTTCAGAACCATCTTGTCGGGCTGAGGATTAACCCTATCCGATAACTTGTTTCTCATCCTCCAGTGTGTTTATAAAATGCAAATCATACTAAAACATGCTTTTGTTAGCAACTTTTATTCTCAGTACCCTCGATAGAGGTGTATAGTCCTGCTCACTTATCATCACCTCTTTAACTTCCGATCAAGACATGCAAAAAATGCCAGTTTACCATTTTTTTGTGGTTTCCAGGTCCCTTTGTGTCTTATTGTGCGTAAAAAATCCGGCTCCGTAAATTAACTCACCTAAGGCCGTGTAAATGCAAAAAATTGCCTTAATGTTTTATTTTGCCCCGTGTTTACTAATGCAGAAGGCCTTTTGGGCCTTCGGAAATCGCACTTCGGTTTAACCTTTTCATCTGTTAACGAGAGACTTACCAGTGCTTCACCACGCCGGAGAAGACCAAGAATGCTGCATGAACTCCAAAGACACTTATCTTTTCGACTATTAATAGCTAACTGAACCACCTTCAGCACACCCAAAGACAGAAAAGTGAGACAAAAATGCAGAAGAGGCAGCGAAGTTAGCTCTGGATTTAAGTAATCAATTTGTATTTTACAAAAGCGATAAATTAACTCATCACAAACAAGGAAAAGGTCGTGCCAAAGTTGATGTGGCAGCTTTGATGTTATGATTGTCTAAAAAGTCCAACTACCCTCCTACTCAGACAATTTGCTGCATCTCCCTCCTACAGAAACTTTTCATTTGTGGACGCAAATTTCGAAAGACAGGTCCAGTCGATCTTGCATCCAAGTTGGCATTTCTGCTCCCAAGGTGCCTCTGAGAGAGGACAGATTTTCAGTGCCGAGGATATCACCCAAGTTGGCACAAGGATTGGTCATTATAGGTGCATTGCCACCAGTAATGCCTGACAAGATTGCCGCAAAAGAAGCTTGACGGAATCGATACTGCGTTTTGATTGGTATCGTTGTAAGTGTGCAGCAGTTGCCGTCTTCACCTTACCGCCCAAGCAGTATTTTGATTGGTTAAAATACGGATACACACAGCACCCAACACACAGGTGGTGTACTACCATGACTTAACTCCTCATGTTTAGTAGGAAAAAACAGCCCTAAATTGTACCAAAATAGTAGATATTAATTGCTGTGAGTAGGCTGCATGTGCTCATGACATGTGAACGGATGGGAGACGCACTAAGTGTAGGCGATCCGTTGCACACGATGTTGGGACAGTTCTGATCACATGCCAACACCTGAATCACGTATAGTATGACTGGTAAGAATAACTGCCTGTCACCCTCTTGCAGCACAGACGAGCAAACGACCTGTCCGAGGTGACCACCTATTTACATAGCCCGGCCAACGTACTTTACAAGGCAAGAGTCACATGTAGCAGCACTTTCACACGATTTGAAGAACTTTTGCTCCTTGCTATGTCTTTCCTGTACACTTTTAATGGGCCTAACCTCGTTCTGCCCTAACCTCCTCTTGTCCCACTCGATCTTTCGTAAATAGAACTGCTTGACTGACGCATCGGAGGCGCTTTTGCTACACAGGTTATCAGTCGAGAGGAAGGAGGGATGGATAGCCTCCGCCATGGATCAGCTATTATGCGGATGACCACGACTGGATTGAATGTGGAAATGAGAGGAGCGAGACGCCTCTTTCGACTTATCATAAGTCACACCGACTGTGGGTTGAAGCTCACCCCTTGTAGAACACTGAATGCTTACAATTTGCTACGATTCATCTGTCAGAAACAGTAATTAAATGAGCCTTGAATCCGCTCTAAACAACAGCTACCAAGGAGAAGTGCTGGGTGAGGTGTGCTTCTGAAATAGACGCAACGGTATCAACATCCACAGTGGCAGTCGAAGTGATTGTAATCCCTCCTCTCCCTCTTTCCAGTCACGTAGGCACGTGGTCGCATCTCTGAACAATGAGATTTGCGCACTAGACAGGAGCCCAAAAAGTACTTTTGAAAGTTAATTCTCCTTTACATTTTTTTCTTCATTCCTCCACTTCATCAACATCACCTACAAAAAACAATTGACTAAAGGCTCGTTCATTCTTTTTTAACGATTTCAATTGACATTCTACTACATAAATAATAAGTAGCAATATTATTATTGACGTGAAAGTAGCTCCAGGACAGCGGCACTACGCTGTGGTGTGGTCTACGTGACGAATGAGTAAATCATTGCTCAAACTAATGCAGCTGACCCTGTCAACGTTATCTGACGCCTTTGAATAATGGATTGAAGGTTTGACTCAAAGATCCATTATGCACTTCCTAATATGCAAAATCGATTTTCACATCATCACCTTCCAACATGAAACTTATGAGAAACGCTCGACGAACTGTTCCTCCCTCTTCCCATTGGTGTGAGGAGTGCTTGATTTTGGAAGACACCTTCAGTCAGGAGTAATACCCCGCGCGAGAGAATGTATAAACCCTACTGCCACCAAAGCATTCCTATGAACATCCAAATAAACAACAGTTTAAGCCGTCAAGTGTCACCTGCGCTACTCACCGCTACCAGCCTTAACATGTCCACATTGTTGTATCGCACCATTGCGTGGATCGGTTCAACTCATACAAGCCTAAAAAAGGTGCCAAACCACAGTTCGTGTCAGTAATTTGACACAAACCCAAGAGTGGATAGACGCGATCCAAGCCTTTGCTTAAGGGGAGTTGCGAAATCCCAACGACAAATTCTCACGCTTGATTGGAAAGAAGACTCGCCATAGGATACTTCTTTCAACAATGAATGGACGAATATGCGATAGACAAACAGGTAGGTGAATGGATCCAGGCTGGGATGAATGAGTGAAACACATGTAAACGGTTCCAAACGCTCAGCGCTGAAACAAAGCACACCAAAACTTTCTCTTTAAGTCAGCTCATTTACGTATGTGCATTGGTGGATAAAGTTGTACACAAAGGGTTAGTAAAAATCACCTCTCCAACCTGGTTCAAACCTTCTCCCTTTATCCCATTCTCTCTCCCTTACCCATCCACCCTGCCTGCCACGCCTTCCAGCCGTCCTGTCGTCTACAAATCTTCCATGCCTTCCAAAGTCCGACATCTGACTTGGCCCATCACCTTGGCGCCTTCGCTGCCACGGCAGCTGGCGCCGATAGGTGCCCTGCGGTATCCATTCTCTTCTTCGCTTATGCTCCGATTGCCGTACTTCTGTTTCCTCCATACGCCGTTCTATGACGATAGAATCTCGGTTTCTGATCTTTGCTTGGTAAGGTCGCGTTCGAGCACAACTGTCCACCTCCTCGTCTTCTCTCTCTTGCCTTTTCTTCCTCTCCTCACAATCTGCACAACTGCATGAAGATCGGCCTGTTGAGAACGACCGCTGACGTTGTCTGCCAACAACCACATTCACTACAGATCGCATTCGGAGTCGAGACATCACAGAATCATCGGTATAGTCCCGCCTAATTTGAGGTCTTGGCGGCCTGCGTCTCGATTCCAGCGGTTCCCTAAAACTTCGCTGCCTTCGGGGGGATCCAAGTGGTCGATAGAATTGGCGGTATTGGCCTGGACGCCTCCTGAACCCGAGACCTGAGTGCGATGCATAGTCCCGTTGTGACAGTGATGGTGGTGTAAGTGGCGAAGGTGGCAATGGTGGTTGGATTGGAGTGGGTGGTGTTTTTGGACCCTTGAAGGGTCGACAATCGAACTCGGACCTAACTGGTGGATATCTGGGAGCAAGTCTTAGAACCGTAGGCCAATGCAATACTTACTGTTGACTAGTCGAAGCCGTTTCGATTTGGCGGTTCGCCAGTTTCTGCTGACGATGTTGGGCAGTCAAAAGGAGCAACAAATTTGTCAAAAGTTGACGCTTTTCGGTACTCAAACTTTGAAGCGGATTTGTTGACGATGAGACAGGATCTGAGGTCTGTGCGGCATTCCCCAGTTTATCATCAATCTTAAAATCATTCAGATTAGACAGTTCTTGTGATTATGAGTAAAATGTGCAGAAAAATATGCTCCAAAAGGTCAAACTCACTATCTTTGGCCTTACCTGAGACATCCTTCATCAAAGTGACCTTGTCAGGTGAAGACTGTACAGATGAAATATCGATATTTTGAATAATGGAAGAGGCAGTCTGAATCAATTTGTTTGCAGTCAATCAGCTGATGGTACTCGTGTCAGCTGACTAACTGGTCTAGGGGGTAAGTATTACGACTCCTCGAAGGAAGGATGGGAAACATTGATGCACAAAGCTCTGATATCCCAGGCATAGAAACATCGGGAGACAGGCGCCTGCAGTTAGCACGAATCCGCACCAGTCTACATCGCACGACCCGCCGTTGTTACATCTTAGTGACGAAGTCATATAGACGAGATGGAACAAAGCAATCGCATCAACACCATTCGTTAGCTGTGATTAAGTCAGGAAATAGCGCGGCATACGTCACCCCTTAGCATGGAGAAACGCTACAAGTATAAGCGAATTGTATCCGACCAAATCAAACCATGAATCTGAGCAAGAAAGTAGGAAAAAAGAAATTAGAAATGAAGTAGGAAATCCTGTCGCACTTATCTAATTACAAGCACTAAAAGAGGGAGGAATACTTGTTTTACGCAGGGGGTTTGTAAGTGGGGGTAATTTTGGAGAACTTTGGCAGGCCGATTATGTCGGTGTCATAGTAAACGTTCTTAACATGTGGTCCTCGTTCCTTGTACGTGTGCTTCCCATTGGCGTCAATTGATATTGGAAGGAGACCTGTCGGACGAGTAGATATAAAAGGCGATGATAAAGAAGTCCAAAAGTTCCACTTAAGTAATAAGTGTTGCTCCCTCCCACACACCTGCATTCCGAGCGCGTTCGATGAGCATTTCAACATAAAACTGTGAGCCCCTAGTCAAACCGGAAACTTCGCGAGGTAAAACCGTTCCGTCAGGACGCAAGAATTGGCTTAAAATAAGCACATCGGTGTGGCGTAGCTTGAGATTCAATCGAATAATAGGATCAGTTATTCGTGGATCACCAAGACCTGTCATGTCGAGAAGGTGACCCGAGCGCTCCGATTCGCAGTAGACTCCTTCGTACTGGAAAAATTAATAATAATGGATACAGATACAAAAGTGCAACTTGCTGTAATGACATTGCCTTCTTCAGTCCGTTTAACTAGAAAGAAAAGTCACCAGTAATATGGATCGAGACAAAGCAAATACAAGGCGAGTGTAAAGAAATACTCACTTTGTTTTTTCAGTAAACAAGCGGAGGTGAAAATGCACCTCCTGGAAGGTAATAGAAAGGACCGTACCACAGAACTCATGTAAGTCTAAATAAAAACACAGAGTAGTCAAAGCAAACCGCTTAATGCAAGGAAGAAAAAACGAGGAGCTTAGTCAGATAAGATTGGTGAGATAGGTAGGTTTGTGTGCAAATGACAAACCGGGCAACACATTAGTAGCGTCTTTAAATGCGATGCTCCAGACTCTTGAAAGGCAAAGGCTATTTTCAGTGTTACCGCATGAGGTGACAGTAAAATGGTGCAAAAACTGTCTCAAGCAAAATAACACCCGCACCATCCTTCGTAAAATGCATTTTTTTCCAATGCACTAAAACACGCAAAAGTTTGACACTTTATTTTGCTGAATTGTTCGTGTTATAGGACAATCTAATACGGCAGCATTTATTTATGTGAAGCAGGATATGCCTGGGGATGCACGCATGTTTTGCGAAAATTTTACCACATCATTACCGATTTTGTAGCCCATTCTTGAAGTAAGTTACTTGGTAAAGCTAAATTACGCGTGAACCACGGATCATGAATGGTAGTATAGAACATTAGAAGCTACAGCCCAGAGTCCAAGGTGAGTGTCGTTGACCGAATTGCATGGTGTCGCTTTCGGCTTTTTGACCTCTTCTTGTCACACATGACACATTATCCAACAAGTTTGGGTGCGTTACAGCCCCACCATGTAAAATAATGGTTAGTTGGGACAGTGATTGTCCATGTCAATCAACAACTTGTCAGCCAGCTTTGTTTCCCTGGTCCTCTGTTACAATTGTGATCCCGAATCAAAGCTCTCAGAGATTTCA